ATATGTTAATTAAAAGTATTCGAACTATTGTATTAAGCAGGAATCCCAGAGTGTAATTAAAGCCAAAGAGAATTATGTGAACACAAACGAACGTATTGTATATAGAGTTTGAAACTAACCAGAAATTAAGTACAGAATAATCATTTATTTTGAGTGGCCCGAGATCTAACTCCAGTCCGATTGTTAATGAAATATACACGTCACCCGCCCTGGTATATAATCATCGACCTGAATGGCTTTGGTGAAAAACTAAATTAAGTCAAATATGAGGATGGATTTTTGGATACGCATACTTCGTACAATCGTTGGTCGTAAATCGAAGATTAACAAAATCACGCGAAATGGAGGAGACCACTCAGCAGTACTGAAGTTCGAGTCCGGGGGTGAAAATTCACTCCGGGATGCAGGTACACATTGTTAACTAGTCCTACATAGGAAGATTACATGCAGACCTGCATCTGAGTCTGATGTACTACGTTTACTTCCATAGGTGCAAATATATCTGCCAAAAAATACTTCAGAGTTGAGTCGTCAATGTTCTTTATACATATTGGCATGACATAGTGTGCGCAAAAGGTAAAAGTAATTATTATGTACTTTTGTTAAACAGGTCTCAACGGTTAAGCCGTCGTAATAGCATAATACGAGTGAAGAGTCATTCGATATGATGGATCATTACGATGGCATGACTCCCGTTACTTAGAGGATAGATGCAATCAGACGTAGTGCGGCTGAAATCAAATAAAATCAAAAATGTCTTGAATTGACCGCTTCTGCAAAAGCTTACAAATTGTCGAGGTGACGCATCAGTCGACGTTGGGGAGGGTTGATGGAAAATCGTCGCTCATCGTGAAATACCTGCTTTGACCCAGACCACTCATCTGCTTGCGCCTCACCGAACGCACAAAAGCCACACTAAAAAGATCCATTATAATTGAATTGAGTAATGAGAAAACCAAAAGTAGGTTCCAAGCACAACTGAGGTAGTTCTGAAAACGAGGCTGATCCAGATGTTTCTTCGCGAGACAAAACAAACAGCAGTGATACCCGCTATTGGTTTGAACCAAAGGGTTACACAAGACCAACGGATTTCTTCTAAGTATGCAATTAGATGAAATTACCACACTAATTTTTCAATTTAATTTAGTAATAACAACCCAAGCGTTTTAAATATGAAAAGTTCACTAATTCATTACTGTTTAGTTTATGCCATGCAGTTTTTCGTTATGACTTCAGAGATCATTTTTCATACGATTTCATTTCTTTTAAACATATTAGAGGGACACAAACAAATTCTTGCATCATTTGAATATTTTAATATCATACATACATAAGAACCATGTCAATTTGGTTATTGGTAAAATACAAAGCGGAACAGATACAACTATAATACTGGATCAGGGATACTTAACATTATACGCAATAACAGCTGGTGTTATTGAAATTACAGAAAACGTGGACGGAATGGACAAGACAGTAATTTATTGAGTTTGCAACGTATTGAAAAAAATAAATAGAAAATGTAAACTAAACTACACGTGGCCCTAAAAAAAGCCTTGTACCGATCTGTTCGTTCCAACTCCTTAATAGTTTATCCAGTTTCCCATCCCCACATTCCTGTATTTTATCGACAATCATGTCATAAACAGCGAGGTTCTCATGTAGTAACATTAAGGCAGTTTTCTCTTTTATCAATGATGTTGTCTTTATGTCGGGCTTTTATCACGTGATCTATCCACCAATCAAAATGCAAATTATATAGTCTTAGCACTGTGCCAAAACCAATGACGTTCGACCGGTGTGAGCAGCCTAGCGTCCTTATTGGTCCTATGTCCACCTAGACCGTCCATTTGACCACAGGACACCAATACCAGCTCCCACTATGTGAATCGAATCATTTATTTCAAACATACTGGGTTTATATATCAACCAAACAGACCGCAACGCATCATATGATAGGAAAAAACATTTGTACGCAATCAAGCCAAAAGGTGGCTGTGAATGTGGGGGGCAGTAGTCAATAAACTGAACATAGCTTAAGAACAGTAAACCGTACAATAATAAATTAGTGGTTTCGCGCGCGAGGTCCTGGGTTCGAATCTCGCAGGGGGTGAGTTCGCGGGAGCGCACTGCCAAGGAGTCTCACAATAGGACGAAACAGCCGTCCAGTGCTTCCATGGTGGTCTAGCTTCAACTGACTCATGATCTTAACCACTGAAATAAATTATAGGTCAAAATAAAGCTTATAACAAGGGAATTATAGATATACATAATCTAGTTACTGAATATTTATACCATGAGAATATATAAATAATATTATTTCATTGATATGTCTCAGTCGTTACTCGTTATGTAATCTTCACTAGGATATAACAGATAATATATCTAGGTTCTTAACTGGAGTTACCGGTGATACATTTCTACTAAATGCGGAAGTCTGTTAAACTCTAAACGTCTTCCATTACGTCCAGAGCCATTTGAATACTTTCACATTTAGATGCTTTTTGGACTCAATTCCTTACATTCATTGGAAAGGATGCCTACAGAATAACAAAACATTAACCATTTGAGATTAGATGGTGGTTGGAGGCAGTCGACAAGAAACCCTGGACCCGGGTTTCGTGCTACTTGGCACTCTCCAGAAAGGTGCACCTGCGATCTTGAGGGAACTGGTACTCCCTGGCGGATTCGATTTCATGTCACCCAGCTTCACAGTCAGAGACGTTACCACTGAGCTATCCGGGAGGCGACCGACCTCCTTTAGGAACAATGAAATCTGAGATGATGAACTGATATTTGCAAAAGAAATAGTCAAATATGAGCCAATGGATTGATATTTTGTAAATGAAGTATTTACTGTATGGTTCTCAGATTTTAGTGAAATGATCTGCAATTTTGTGCTCAAATACATTCGATTGTTCCCATTTGTATTCTCGTTCACTACACTATAACTTCTTCTGATGTATAGAAAATAGATTAACGGAACTTTTTATTCAACTGAAAGAGAAGTATGTTTGTTTGTTGGGTTTTTATCATCTTGATAAATGATTATTTTATACAATGGATAAATGATAAAGTAAATTAAATACTAAACAATAAGGGAAAACAGTAAATACAAAGTAGTTGTCAATTGACCATTTAATATATAAGTAAATACATATATATACAAGTAAAATAAATACAAACTTTAATAGATAGATTAAACTTTAATATATTATCACTATTAGAATTATATGTCCAAATTACTTTTCGTTGATAATTAGATGATGATATATTAACTAATGGTAACCATAAATTATGAGGAGGATTAAAATATATTAATTTATTAGTTTTAATTTGTTTTTTAATTGAAAAACGAGATATTTTATGATGATTTATATCAAATTGAAATAGTGTTTTGATAGAATTTGATAAAGATGTAGAATGAATATTGTGATTAGATTTTAAATAGTTTAAAGTTGTTAGTACTGTACTCTAAAATTGAAGAAAGATCATATGAATAAAATAGTTTGTTTTAAATTACCTAGGCAAAATAGTGAAAAAGTTTCACAATTGATTGATCACTGAGTGGTGATCAATGTCATGCTTGTCTAGTCTTTATTAGTGCAGATCGAATGATATCGATCATGTTGCAATGTGGCCACCAGTCTAGGTGACTCAATACTGCGAGCACTATGTATTAAGATTTAGATGGTGGTTGGAGGTAGTCAACAGGAAACCCTGGACCCGGTTTTCATGCTACTTGGCACTTGTCAGCAAGGTGTACCTGTAATCTTGAGGGAACTGGTGCTCCCTGGCGGATTCGATTTCGTGTCACCCAGCTTCACAGTCAGAGACTTTACCACTGAGCTATCCGAGCCATGACTAACCTCCTGTAGGACTGAGATGTAATTACAATTGATTGATCACTGGGTGGTGATCAATGTCATGCTTATCTAGTCTAGTTTCAATTTATGATCCAGAAATCATCTTGAAGATAAAATTCATGAACAAAATAGATTAGAAACATAGTTATAATGTGTTTATACTTTGCTGAAACAATGGATTACATTAAAATTTCATTTACTTAACACTCATAGGATGCTTTCTGCAGTAGCGTTGAAAAAAAAACAGACGGTCGACACTGTTTTATTTAGAAACCGAATTGTAAAACCTCCGTTTTGATTTTCGACTAAGCATCCTGTAATAGTTTCTCTGTTATAACGCCTAAGTCTATTCTGGATTTCGGAACGACTTTAATATGTCAGATAACATATGACTAAAATCATTTTCACAATTCTAATAACTTCATTCACTTCAAAAGTAATTGTGACCATCAATGTGTGTACCGATTTTATTATTGTTCTAGTCAAATCTCTACTTGTACGTATTATAAAAATCTGTATATCTATACACTTAATTATCATACCCAATCTTTGTAACTTTGCTCATATTATTCAATGTCTATTTTGAGAAGACAATGTTTACCTCCAATTGGTGTCACATATTATCTGATTGCATTAACAGATGTATGACAAATATGGATCTAAGACTTTCGTACTTTACTCATAATTCCCTTGTGAATAAATACGAAGTTAATTAAAGAACCATAATCTATTGTTTTCTCTTAAGAATCATTAGGAGTCAACCAAATGACACTAAGAAAAACAAAACAAAAAAATGAGCATATAATGTTCTGTCATACAGTCGCAAGAACAGGTACACTATTTCAATGCTTGAGCTAAATTAAGCATTGAGGCGTTTCCTACTCTGATCCTATGTTTAAATATCAGCTCCTTATGTCACTAAGCCATTATTCCTAAACAGTACGTATTTAATAAATTCGGATTCATTGAAACATTGGTTGTCAGCATCATAAATATTGAAGATTTTCGAAATGTAGTTTAAATCAACATTGCTTCCAATTAGATTTTTATTATGCTTCACCATAATGTGCAGTTAAATATCGACGCATAAGTAAAAAAAAAGAGACTAAACATAACTCTTGAAGACGATGAAATGGACTAGATAACTAATCATAGCACGTAAAAAGTATATGTTAATAGTAAGATATACTATGATATAGCGAAGCAATATGGTCCTAGAAAGTAAAAAAACATGCGTAAGCTGCAGGCATCCAACCATAGATACCCTCAGAGCATCACTCGCGTATGTCGGAACTTTCGAGGTAGCAGTGCTGAAGTTAGATAAGTGGTATCAGGGATAGGTGGAAAATTGGTTGGTGATTCAGCGAATCTCCATCGATTAAGGTGGTTAGAACAATACAGGACACTTATGGGCATAACCACTGTCCATCTACATGTGTGATGTTTGTTAGTGTTTAAGTAGGCTGAAAGAAAGCTTACTTACTCCCGTCACTCCTCGAGGAAGATCATAGACCGTCCATGAGCATTCTCCATCCTACTCTATACCAGACAAATCTTCCCAGTTGCTATTCACCCTTTTCATGTCTGTTTCCAATTCCCGACGTAGCGTGTACTTCGGCCTTTCTCTTTTTCGTTTTCCTGTAAGCGCTTGCCTTGTGATGCAGTTTGTTGATCTCCGTAATTTATGTCCTATCCAGCTAGATCCCAGTGTGTTCTCCGCCACAGAAGGTTGTTGCTGATGGTATCCGGCCGACGGAAATTGAGTATCTTGAGTAGACAATTGTTTATAAAATACGTATATGTTTTGATGATATCTGTAGTAGTTCTTCAAGTTTCAGCTCCGTACATTAGAACTGTCTTGACGTTCGTAATAATGAAAATAATAACAGCTTGGATAAATTATGAGCAGAGATAGATGAATAAATGCTTTAATATCGGACTTAAATAGAAACTTGGGAACATTAACAGTAAAATAACAACTTATAAAAATTGCGTAGTAAGAAATATGTGAATAATCAGTTCACATGTGAAAGCAGCAAAGAAGAGTCATAAAAGCGGGGTGTGGAAAAATGATCAAAATCGTCTATCAATTAATATCAGGCTAAGGAAAAGGACAGGAATGTTACAAATTTATTGTGAAAACATAGAACAGTATTGTAGACTCGTAGTCCGTTGGAAAACTGAAAGGGTAAACGGTAGGAAATATTGACTATGTAATTCTTTAATAATATTGTAAACAAATTGACGAAATAACTGTTGTGTCAAGTTCAGAATATTAGCTGGCTGATTTATAGTCAAATTAGAAAATGGAGTTGTGAACGAGGTTTAGGAGAAACTAGACTTATTGACGATACATTCCTTATCATCGATCAGAACACTAATAAGGAATTCTTAAGTCAGTTTAACAGTGTACACTCGGTAGTGACTATCACTTGTGAAAACGTGTGTGATAACGATTTGTATTTCCTTTACAATTTACTAAGCAGACAGTAAAACAGCTTGTGAAGAATAAACATGCATAGAAAGAACTATACTGAATGCAATGTAATGAAAAATATACAGACCATTATGCTTACTGGGTTTGTTGTTGAATAACTCGGCAATGGAAGGAAGACAGTTACGTTATCTATAGATTGAATTCTACTTTCCTCTTTAATCGGCACATAATGAGGATCAGAATTATTTTGAATTACAGATTGCATCATTTCAGTTATGTGTTGTAGATCTTTAATGACATGGACAGCCATAGGATTTATCTTAAGAAACGATTCATTTTCGATCAGATTTACGGTTATATTTGACCTGTAAGGTAAATTATAAATACATGTAAATGAGCTAACTACAATATAATACATCACTTAAGAAAATGGTAGTAACAATCAGACTAATATATTAAAATAACAACAACAAAAAGTAATAAAACTAAGACATAACAACAACTTAGTTATTTAAACTGGTTTAAGTGAAATGGAGTTTTTTTAAAAATGCATATACAATAATGACCATTACAGATGAAAATTCAAAATGAAAGTCCAATCGACTAATCACATAGCCTTTTAGATTTTGACAATAAAATAATATCAGAAGGGGTTTTTATGGATATTATAGTAATTCCAATAATTGACATCATGAGTTAATTGAGGCTAGACCACTATGGAAAACCTGGAAGCACTGGACGATCGTTTCGATCTTTTGTGGGACTCCTCAGCAGTGCGCATTTATATATATATATATATATATATATATATATCGCATTTCGGTATTTAAAGAGGTAGTTGGATACTAATTTTTCCTCAAAAAGTGTATTGCACAGCCGTCCACTGTAGTTCTGAAACTTTGATATTGTGCTAAATTTTTTTACTCTGGATTCTATTCGTTTTTCGAAACAATGTCTTTTATGTTCAGTTTTTCACTCAAATGTTTGCTTTCGTTCGTTTACCTACAGACTCTGAGAATCTTATTAATCAATATCTTACAATTACTTATGATGTTTGTCCTAATATCTACTTAACTCTACAAATTTTCTTTTATTGAACTATCACAAAGTGTAGGAACTTTGTGTCTACCACTTTGTTTTAAATTGGTGCTTCTTTTCTATGATGAGAATTTCCAGCTGTCATCGAAAATACTCAGGAATTTTAAAGTGCAAAGTGTGTTACAGTTCAGTCACTATATTAGAACTCAAAAAGAGATTGTCCAGCAATTCTGATGAGTTTGTAACGAAAAAATGCCAAATAATAAAAGTGAGTTAAATTGAAACTTTTCAAGTCTTACGTATGTGTTAATCTATCACCTGTCCAACATAAATGGTCACTACTTTTCTTTGAATCACGTAGAAGATCCTCACTACAAAAATACTTGATGATGTTAGAAAATGGTTTGCGTACAGAGAGATACTGAAAAAAGTCACCAAAAAAACGAAACAAACAAAAATCAAATGAACATCAAGAAATTTTCAGAAATTTATTAAACTATAATATAATGTTAAATGTAACCAAAACACGCTAAAACTCAGTAGAGAAGTGTAGAGATGGTGGAGAAGATTTGTAGCTCAGGTGGATGATTGAAGTTTGTGCTGATGATGTCGTTCAGAAGAACGATGAATGCTGCACGACCAAACCATCCAGCACAGAGAACAAAACTCCACCAAAAAAGAAAAGTGTAGATTTATCTAAGTTGCGTCTTCGTTATCAATTATCCAAGTTTGACTCATTTAATAGAAATATGGAAATATATGTGAAGTTAAGATTGATTATATTTATAACATAGAACTGGAACATTAATTCCGAAAGTTAACGAGGGTTATTTCTTGCGATAATTGCATCTTTGGATTATTAAACTGATAAACTAGCTAATGATGATAAATGTTGTGAGAATCGTAACAGAAAATGTCATTTTTTTAATTATTTTACTGCCACGCGAGATAATATAGTTAGTATAACATTAAGAAATGAATTATGTGATTGCTTATTTTAACTAATAAAACAAATTTAGACTACTTGTTTCGATAGTGAAATGTATTATTTGCATGGACAGATTGAGTCTATGCTCATGTATCTAATGGTTAAGTGTAATGTCTTTACATACTATTCTGTATATTACATCCATGAGTATGCGATGAAGCTTAATTATTAAGCTCTATCCATTTACACAAAATAAATTGTGCTTGTTCTAATATGTTGCATTAATTAATGTGATTTGGTTTACATATAATATCCAATTTGTTTCTCATTAGCTCGTTTTTCTCCATTTTAAAGTAAAGGGATTTGAGGGAAAACGTGAATGACATGTTTCAAAGAACTTTCTCCATAGGCAAACCAACAGTGAACTTTGATACATTCATCACACAGAATGGGACTGACCATCTGTTCACTTTTAGTGGTATAACGGTAGATGATGATAAGTCTGGTATACAACTTCAGTAAAATCGTATGGATATCTGTTCTTGTGAAAGAAGGGTCTCGTATAAATGACTTGAGTTTTTTGTAATAAATATAACCTCGATTGAATCTTAGCCCTTTTGGAACGTCTAAAAACAACAAGTTTGTTTATACATAAGAGTATAGCGTTGAAACATTGTAGGGATACATGGAAGGATAAAAAAAGCTTCTGTAGTGGCTGGTACTATATCCAACCCACATAGGTTATTCTAGCTTCTGGACAGACCGATCTATCCATTCTTATCAAGCCACATTTTGACCTTGTCGGTTATCCGCTTATTAATCCTGACTGTTTCTATATGATCGTATGTACGTTAATTTCTTACCCTATTCATCACCGGTCTGTAACTTATTTTTGTCTGAATATAAATATTGAGTCACGCTTGATTAAAATGTTTTGGCTCACTCGATTTTTCTGTCGCGTGCCATTTTGTTTCGTTTCGTTTTCTTCACTTCGTTTCCCCGATTGTCTGCTCGGATCAATGAGTGTATGCAATATACATAATCAAAATTCATTCTCTTATTTGGCATATTTTATTTTGCCATTTCCTAACGCGAATTGAGTCGATAAAAATACACGAGGCTTGACAGCATTTATACTTCAATAACAATCAGAATATGATTTAACTGGAGTCATATATGGGGGCTACTAAACTCCTTCCAGTGGACCCTGCTTCGTTTATTAAACATACACAAATCCCGATTACTTTTTACCACTTAACAGTTTGGTATACCTCAAACTGCCAGAAAGTACTAGTATATAAAAGATTATAGACATACCATGATGATAAGTGCGAACAAGCACATCTACTTGATGTAAGACATGTTGGTTACTACTAAGCATCTCATTCAAAACAAAGTATAATCAGATTTCATTCTATTTAGCCTACGGATCGCAAATCACTTTATTAGCAATCAGGAGCAAAGCATCGTCATAAATACCGCATGATGATGATATCGTAAACACTTTTTTCCGATTCGTATCTACGCAATAAAAAAGTGGGACATTTCCACATGCATATATACAAAAAATATTTATGGATGTGCATACCTTGTTACGAATACTGTCTGCCCATGATTTCAGGATATCATAATTCCCGTAAATATAAGGATGTTTGTAATCCTGAACTAAGGTATCATGATCAACAAATACAAATTTCGGATGTCGTCGTTGCCTAAAATCAGTCCTGGAAAGAAACGACTGATTCTCTTTTGAGTTTTCTAATAAACAGTTATTGAATAATTCATCCTATACAAATAACATAAATTTAAAAACTAAAACACTTCAATCCTAAAAAATTAAATACATTTTGTCGTTATTGATTAGTACAAGTAATCTTATATATATATTAGAGGTATTGTTTGAATTTAGGTGGCAAACAACAAGAGCAAAAAGATTGGATGCTGTTGAAGCGTAAAAAGCTGGCTGCTGAGAATATGCTTAACATTCAAAATATTCATATATTCTGTGCATCTCGGATTAAAAAACGATTGACAACTATCAGTTAGTAAACTGATAGTAGTTAATGTAATTCATTATACCACAAGCGAATTACCATTTCAAATTAACTTATCAATAACGGTATATTAGAGATGCATAAACGATTGACTGGTCCAAAGTTAAACAAAGTTTCCAACTTAGACGATACGATATACAACGATATACAACAACAAGCGAACAATTGTATTTGATTTTGTAAAACGATATTACATGATTATATATGATATTTAATGCTTTTTCACAAAATTACGCTGCTTAAGGCTGAAAGAATTAGTTTATTGGTCCCTTTAAGAAAATTGAACCATCAAGTAAGCAAAACTTATGATATCATGAAAATGAACTGGAGAAAAAATTGCCCCTTGAATTATCTTTAGCAGTTAGTGTTATCAATAACTTTCTATACTGAAAACCGTGTACGTTTTCACTCGATTATTTAAGATGATGACAGATGAGTATGAAGATTTTCATTCCCGAAATGGCAATTTCTGCTTGACGCGCCAGAGGAAACATATTTACCAACGATTTACAACTAACGATCAAACATGAAGGTTGTCTGATAAAACCTTTAACCTAAATACAATTACATACTCAATATATGTAAACGCCTGATTAGTTCGATTTCAAAGAATGGTGTTGACCTAGGTGGGAGGGATAAGAAAGTATTTAGCGACCATGTAGAAATAAAAATATATTGAATTTTCATGACGAACTGTCCATAACTGGAATAAGGGGTATAAGAAATATGATTATCACTTAAGATTGTATATAAAAGCTAAGCACATGTTGACAGATGTATTAAATCAAATAATACTTAAAAATACGTACATGATATGTCAACAACCGTGTACATATTCATGTTTTAGGTTAAAAGCTATATCTATCGTAATAACCTTGCTCCACAAACACCTTGATGGGCAGTGTTTGAAGTCGGATACTCAAGACTCAGAGTATATTATAAGTTAGTCCACAAACAAATAAAACGTTCAGCTAGAATTTTGTACCAGAACAATGTAACCGTTATACAATTAAGAACAAAAATTAAAAAAGGAAGATTGAATATAACATGATAAACTAATACTTAAGTTTGGATTGAAGAATGATCAGCGTCTTTATTGTGTACTAACATAGAAAGTGGCGTATGTTCGTCTAGTGGAACTAATCGATTCATAAAAGTTAGTTTTATAAGTTTACGCGTGTCAGATGGCAAAGAACATATTCGTACCACATGACTAGCTATACTTTATCTACTCAATGTCTAGATATATTCCTAAGACGTTTCTCGTCGACTAACGGTTGTCATGTTTGAATAACTTAGTGTCTATAATATCTTGCTTTCAATTCATTCAAACTAAGGTGATGTGTATTGGTAGACTAAAGACAAATTAGGAACATAACGGCACTATAGATTTTTGAATAAGTATCATCTTATTTTGTAACATATCATAAAACTTCAATATCCATAGTTTTGAGTTCACTTACCGACTTACAGTTGATCATGGGTACATTTAACAGAACAATATATTGTTGGTCTACGGAAGTAGATACACGGACAAGTTTACAAAGCCTGTTTGTTATTTAGACATCAACAAAATTGCTATATATGATTTTCTTTATTAACAATGGAAAAATTGTCATGTTCCTCAGAACCTATTCGAATAAAGGATACAAAACGCTTTTCCTAATGAGTAAAGTTGATAAAACCTGATTCAAATAAACTAAACAACACTGTACAGCAACGTAAAGGATGATGAATTGTCAATTAATAAACGTGTTATGAGTGAGAAGATGAACAAAAACACTTTTACCAAGACCTTCGGGATAATGTTTGATTAAAAATCCTATAAGGGAAAAGAGACTCAGGAATTATGAATTAACCTGACAGCACTAAAGCAGAAAGTTTGAACAGGTATAAAAACTTTTGACGCAACGATGTACCTCAGAAATCAAATTTAGTGATCCAAGTACTCAGATTTGAGCTATGCTGAGTTGAAGGCTAGTGAGAAAACTCTGTATACTATACCGAAGAAAGTGAACCACGATGAGCGGTCAAAATTCAGTTCCTAAACTTATGAAATCACCACTCTATATTCAACATACCGCAAAATTAATAACAAAGCTATGCTGAATAACACGTAAACTTACAGATTGATCCAATCGAAAGAGTATAGTTTGAAGATTCATGATAGCGTCAGATATATGTATTTGTAATGGTCGAATAACCTGGGGGAAAATTTTGGAGTCTTTTAAACGTTCAGCAACACGAACAACCTGATCTAGAAAAACAAAGTGGATTTCACTTACTTTAAACTTGAAAATAGGATGGTGTGGAAAAAACGTTTTTATTGGAATACTTTTAATGGCTAATATGCAGTATGTAATAAGGATGAAACGACGATTAGCATAAGTTGACAAAACACTCTAAAGTCAACGTTAGCCAATATGACTCACCATGAAATCAACCAATTACATTGCAAGAGAATATAGCACCATTATAATAGCTGAATATAATACGGCGGAAAATAAATTTCTCGAGTTAATATAAATGTTTGAGCCTCCAGTAAAAACCAACTTAAATAATTATAAAACTGTAATCCGGGATTACTGGAAGATATAAAACAACAGTTTATTACACTCTTACATTGAGAACTTTAAGCACCCCCCAAATGCCCTGGTACGGCCGAGAGTAAGATGAGTCCGCTCTCCATTTCAAAATGCTCTCACATTATTATTTATTTTTATTTGAGCACATAAATATTGGTACAAGAGAGCGCCAATATATATGCGCCACACAAAACAATGAAAATTCGAAGAGAGAAAAGAAAAAAAACTAAGGAGCACAAAAGAAAAAGAGAACGATAACAAAGAGATTGGTGAAAGGTAGTGCGGTCGTAACGATGGAACGGAAAGGTACAATCAGAAGAAATCTTTCAAGTAAGGGAGACACAACCACTTTTTATGAAGAAAGTAAAAGAAGGTTACAGCAGGATCGCCACTGGCTTCTATTCTGAGCCATATCTGATAACGTCTCTAGCCACTGTGTAGCACCATCTCTCAGACCCCAACCAGGGAGTCGTGAAGGACCGACAGAAGCCAGTCCTTTGCAGCTTTCTTTCATACCACGACACCATGTCATGCACTGACCACCTCTCCGCTTTTTCCAACCAGTCCCAGAGTCGGCAAATAATGCACGACGTGGAATTCTCTGGGACGACATTCGCAGAACATGTCCAAGCCACCGAAGTCGGTGTTTCAAGATGGTGACACCAATTGAATTATCATCTCTGTGCCCAAACACACGATGCCGAACCTCTGCATTACTAACATGGTGTTGCCACTGAATGTCAGCAATCCTTAGGAGACAGCGATGATCGAACACAGAGAGTCGTCTAACGTCCTCAACTCGGAGAGGCCAGGTTTCACAACCATAGAGCAAAACTGCTCTCACCGACGCGTTGTAGATCCGACCTTTTACAGCCAGACTAACATCACGAAGGCGCCAAAGGTGACCCAGATTGGCATAAGCCGCTCTGGCTTTCACTATACGTGCACTGATCTCATCACTCACACCCCCACCAGCACTTATGCAGCTACCCAGATACACGAACTTCTCGACTACTTCTATCTGCTCACCATCCAGGGTGAGCACAGGATTGGAATCCTGCCAGTCTTGTAGGAGTACTTTGCACTTCGAAGGTGCAAAGCACATACCATACCTACGGACACTGATTGCCAACTGATTAAGTGCGGATTGCATGCCTTGGGCATTATCGCACAGTAAAACAATATCATCCGCATACTCAAGGTCGAGAAGTCTTTCTCCAGGCAACAGATCCACACCACCATTACTTACATTCATCAGAGCTGTTTCCAGAATGTCATCGATGGCAAAGTTGAAGAGGAATGGTGAGGTTGGGCAACCCTGCCTAACCCCACTACTCGTATAGAACAATGGAGAGAGGTGGTTGTATGCCCTCACTCTGCCTGAGGTGTTTTTATATAGGGCTTTTAAGATGTTAATAAACTTCTCAGGCACACCCTTCTTCAATAGACAATCCCAGAGAACAGTCCTGTCCAACGAATCGAAGGCAGCCCTGATGTCAAGAAACACTACGATTGTTGGCCTTTGATAAGTATGGCGATGTTCTAACATTTGGCGGAGGGTGAAGATATGATCAATACAACCTCGACCAGAACGAAACCCAGCCTGCTCCTCGCGAGTCAATCTTTCTCGGGTTTTGAACAACCTACGAAGTATGACGGAAGCCAATAGCTTGGACGCAATCGGAAGTAGACTTATCCCCCGATAGTTGTTGCAGGAACGACGTGAACCCTTTTTAAAGATAGGGACAACTATCGACTCATTCCATGACGTTGGTACACTCTTTAATTCCCAAATCTTTGTAAACAACGTCGTCAATTCCTTAGTCAAAAAGTCACCACCATCTTTAAAAAGAGCCGGAGGTAAGTCATCTGGGCCAGGTGATTTGTAACGCTTCAAGAGTTGGAGTTCCTTGCGGACTTCCTCCTCGTTTGGTGGATCAGTCGTCACCGGCCATGGAGGGCAGGACAGTCTGACCGATGTTGCCGGAGCAGCAGGCCAGTTGAACTGCCCTTCGAAGAATTCTGCCCATCGTCCAAGACGTCGATGGATGTTAGTGATTGGCATCCCATCATCCTCGCAGATTGTTTCACTCACACCAGACTTCTTGCTGCCAGTGGCTCGGATGAGCTGGAAGAGCTTCCGGTAGTTACCAGATGCAGCTGCTGCTTCCATCTCATTAGCACGCTCCGACCACCAGGCTTCTCGGTCCTTACGCAAGCTTTGCCCAATTTCCCTACGTAACATCCTTCGTTTATGGTCAAACTCACGGTCACCCGGAGTCGACCGGCGGGCTTCAATAAGTTGTAAGGAACCAGAAGAAACCCAGTGCTTATAAGCGGGACGTTTCGCAAACCTACAACTGACTGTTCCCGCCATTTTCATGGCGTCATGCAATTGCAACCAATGCTCATCTATACTTTTCGGTGGAGTGGTAGCTAGCCTAGAAGCTAGCTCGGTTCGATACTTATTTGCAACAGAGGTTTCAACCAGCTTGCTAATATCAATCCTTTGATGGCGGTCACTTCGTTGTCCACTGAAAAGTAAGGCAAGATTGGCGCAGACTCGTGGCCGGAGTGTTGTTTATGAAATTGAGAGGATGAAAAGCGAATGTCCGGCGCTTTAACCGGTTTGGTGGACACAGAGAATCCACCTAGGGAAGTTAGAAAACCCTGATTCCAAACGAACGGTGCACATGGGCTTCAGTATACTGAAGGACCAAATAGCGTATGGACCAATCGTTGGTCACCGGCTACCATGGGACTGCATCTCCTTACGATGCTCCACTGCCTTGTGGATCAGACCTTTATTTCGAAGGCTCCGAGTGTGGCCTCCTAAGAAAACCACGTGCTTCGGTTTAGGCAGTCAGGCAGTATCACAGCCCTCACACATATCAAATGAGATCTGTGTGGCGCATATGTATTTGGTGCCTCCTTGTACCAATATATATGTGTTAAAATAAATAATAAATAAGTAACTCCCGAACGTTCGAAATTACAACCATCTTTAGTGAAATAGTACATCTGGTCAATATACCGGACTTGTACAGCTTGGCACAAAATTTCGTTAGACCAATATATATATATATATATATATATATATATATATATATAAAGAGAGAGATTGTGTGTGTGTGTGTGTGTGTGGTAAACGTAGTAACAGTATCAGTGGTAGTATAAAAGAATGCACAGAGAAAATGATTCGAGAATTAAGAATGCATTTGTCGGATGAAGCTAGGATCTGAGGAATGATGAAAAATGAGTGCATCTACAGCAATGTGACTGATTCTGAGCTGCTACCCAACATCTCCAACCACTGGTTACAATAATCACGTGGATCCCAATCAAGTAGTCTGCGTCCACCAACATGGCTCATGCATGCAGTTAGTGACTTCATAGACGGATGATATGTTCTGATTTCGGCAACCCTAACAAGGGTAGCATTCCTACAGTTCAAAACATACGGAACTCAAAACAACTGTCAACCAACATCAAAGTCACAATCTTCAATATGAACGTCAAGACAGTACCACTGTATGGAGCTGAATTGTGGAGAACTACGATAACGATCATCAAGAAGGTGCAATTATTTATAAATAGTTGTCTACGCAAGATACTCAACACCCATTGGCTGGATACCATCAGTAACAACCTACTGTGTCAGATAACAAACCAGCTTCCAGCTGACGAGGAAATCAAGAAAAGACTTTGGAAGTGGATAGGACATACTTTACGGAACTCACAAAACTGCATCACAAGGTAAGCCCGAACTTAGAATCCTGAAGTGAGGTGGAAGAGAGGAAGGTTGAAAAACAGTGTCGGCAATCGGAAACAGACGTGGAAAGAATGAATAACAACTGGAAAGAATTTTCCGGTACAGAGTTGGATGGAGAATGCTGGTGGGCAGCTTATGGTCCTCCACGAGGAGTAACGGGAGTAAGTAAGCAAGCTTATATAGGTGTGGCGCGTATATATCTGGTGCCCAATTGTACCAATGTTTATGTGTTCAAATAAATAAATAATAAGCTTTCTTTCAACCTACCAAAACACTAGCAAACGTCACACATGTAGATGGACAGTGGTTATGCCTATAAGTGTCCTGTATTGTCCTAACCACCTTAATCGATAGAGATTCGCTGAATCACCAACCAATTTTCCACCTATCCCTGGTACCACTTATCTAACCTCAGCACTGCTACCTCGATAGTTCTGACATACGCGAATAACGCTTAGAGGGTATGTATGATCAAACACCACTAACCTACGAATATGTCTTACTTTTAAATGTTACGCCCAAATTTGGGCGTTGGTCATGTTTTGTTAATGTCATTCGAGCAACTTTCACGTGTTGGATTTTTTCTCAACTCCGAGATTTGATGGAAGCGGTTAGTATATGGTAGGAAAAACCGGTGTACAGGACTGAGATCCCTTAGCCCAATCACAACTCCCTGGTTGAGTTTTAAAAATATAGATTAAAGCGTCGGACGCAAACACATACATCCAACCTCTTGTAACCAAACTACTTTAACTCATAGTTACCTAGACAGAAACAAACCGCTCAGAACGTTACTATGCATAGATTATTCCCATCTGAGCTAATACTAAGACGATATTATAAACATCAAAAACTAACTCCTAAGACAATACTGAAGGAGCTAAACAAGCCCTATCCAGAATCTAAAGGCAGCCAATACACAGTGAGTCTGTCAGGATTTCATCAACAAGCTGTCTATAATTTTCGATAAAAACAGAAACTCCGTTTGATAAATAAATGGAACAGGCATTTTGTAAGTCGGCATCCAAACAACATAAAAATAATACTTTTATGTAAATAACTTATGAAATATTCAACCTACCAATAAATGATAGCCAGTATTTATCAAAAGCAGTCCATAACAAAAAACATGTGGACAAACGACTAAAGCAACTATGTCGACAAATGAGGGGTTGGATTACTCCTGAACATAAATTACAGTAACGTAATTTAATCCATTCATTTATACAACTATCATTCACTGTTATCTGAAAGTAAAAAATTTACAAGTATTTTACTCATTTATCTAACGTTTCAAAATTTCGAAGTCAAGAGACAAAAAGTAAAGCGGTTCTGAAAAATCTTAATCTAGGGAAAAGAAGATGAAATCATACCGATGAAGCCAAATTCAAACTGTCATTGGATTTTTGAACCATATTGTAGTTCAAAGTTATCGATTCCACGACTACCAACAGCATACAAAAAATTGTCTTTATCAATGAGTGTTTAACCTCAATAACTGCTTTATTTAACGAGCGTTGTAATCAACCTCAAATTTACTTACTCGGAGATTACACCCAAACAACTCAGAAATTCTGATGAGACCTTGATAACACATTACAATCAGAAAAACGTTGTTACGGAACCGAAACAGAACCAAACTACGTCTTATTTTAGCTTTCCCGACCGTTGTTGTTACCTTGACATGGTGGTCGGGCTTGCCTATCGTGATGAAGCAACCGAGCTATATTGGCTGGAACAACCGTTCCTCAAGGTCCTACCATGTCAGACAGGTCGGTTGAAGAGCGGTAAGATTAAAACAACAAACCCAAGGTCTGAAGGCGAAGTATAACTGCTGACTATACAGAGGTGTGACAGCAGTAAGGTGTTTCCTTCAGACAGACAGTATGACAGCGATGACGCCTTCCCACAAGGAGGGGTGGGGTTAGAAAAGGTCGACCCTAAAAATGCACACCTCGCCTTATCCCACGGATATCCGTCTCCGGCGGTAAGGTCTCAACAAGTACGGAGCTAACACAAAAATTGCCCATAAAAAGGTCGTGTGTGACCGACCTCAAGCAGTTGTACCTTTGGCACTGCTGTCACGCTCTCAGGTCACTAAGACCACCTTTAATCCAATTTCCTTTACAGGTACCTTCAGAACAACCCTTCTACGGTGTGGTCAACCGGGAAGTGATAACCGCCCTCATACCTCCAACAGCACTCAAGACCACTGGATTCATAATCAACCTCCTTCTTCAATTCCTATTCTTCCTCCTACATCGACTTTCACCTCTAAATTTCCTCTTTCGGCTTCCACCTCAAGTGTCACCATAGCCAACGATTCTAGTGCTCAGAACACTGTCCCAGGTCTACTGAAACCTCGCTCCAAACTACACATTGGAGCATTCAACGTACACACCTTAAGTCAAATCGGTCAACAAGAACTAGAATCTTGTACGATTGATGTATGCTGTGTCTCCGAAACACGCATGCAGGATCCCAGTGTGGTCATTCACTTGACCTCACCTCGGTAAAAACGGAGCCAACGAGATACACCCTCCGTGTATCTGGTGACCCGATGGCTAGCTCTCGTGGACTGGCAGGTGTAGGGATAGCACTAAGCATGAGGGCCGAACAAGCACTGTTAGAGTGGATCTCCGTCAACAGTCGTCTATGTGCTGTCCGGCTAAACGGCTCCGTAAGAACTCGGAAGGATAGGGACACACATCGTTGCCTTTTTGTTGTTTCTGCCTACGCTCCCACCGACTGCAGCTCAGATGAAATGAAAGATGAATTTTACAGGAAGCTATCTGAACTTCTTCAAAAAGCTAAACGTTCTGACATAGTACTCGTAGGTGACTTTAATGCCCAGATAGGTAGTTTAAACCAAACAGAAAGGCATTAAGGTGGGTATTTTAGTATTCCGGCACAGCGAACAGATAATGGTGATCGTCTGCTGCAACTACGCTCAGACAATCGTTTATTTTTAGTAAACACAAATTTTAAGCATAAGGAAAGACATCGTCTAACATGGCGACCCCCTACACCAAACCAACGATGAACTCAAATAGACCATATTGCCATCAGTCATCGTTGGAGAGGGTCGGTACAAGATTGTCGCTCATTCTGGAATACCTGCTTGGAATCCGACCATGCCCTAATACGGGCACGCATCTGCTTGCGCCTCACTGGACGCAAAAAAGCCACATTAAAAAGATCAACTAGAACTGAGTTGAGTGCCGAGAAAACCAAAAGTAAGTTCCAGGAACAACTGAGGTCACACTAAGGTAGTTCCGAAAACGAGGCTGATCCAGATATTGTTTGGAAAGATATACGAACAGCTGTGGACACAGCAGTGACATATATTGTTGATTTAAACCACAGTGTTACAAATAATCAATGGATTTCTTCGAGGTCTATTGCACTGATGGATTCTCGCAAACACATCCCATCGGGTTCTGAACATGATGAAGAGCGTAAACAAATCAGATCTAGGTTAAGCAAAAGTTTAAGAAACGATCGTGAGCAGTGGTAGGAAACGAAAGCAAAAGAGATGGAAAAGGCGGCGGCTATAGGGAACACAAGACAGCTTTACAGACTAATAAAAGAAGCTGGAATTAGTAAGTCAAGTGTAAGTCAGACTATTTCGGAAAAAGACGACACTCTCATCTATTCCCAGTACAAATGTTTAGAACGATGGACGGAACATTTTGAGGAGCAATTCAGCTGGCCTGCAGCTACTCTCCAACTACCCTCCATTACCAAACAGTGTGAATGGAACATTGAAGTAGGTCCCCCGACTAGAGCTGAAGTTCAAAAGGCTATAGTTAATCTGAATCGAGGAAGGGCAGCTGGTCCAGATGGATTGCCTCCAGAGGTCTTTAAGGATGGTAGTCCAATTTTAGTGATTAGCTTGATTACTATTTTAGGTAGAAACTGGGAGTTCGACGTAATCCTATCTCACTGGTCACAATCACTTATCGTCCCCATATATAAGAGGGTCAAAATCATCCTGTGACAACCATAGATTGATTAATTTGACTAATATAGTACTAGCCTCGATAATTATCGGACGCCTAACTAAGACTCGTGAACTGCAAACACGAGAAAATCAAGCTGGCTTCAGACCTGGTCGTGGCTGCATCGACTACATATTCACTATTCGTCAGGTTCTAGAACACAGGTGTACTTATCGACGTCCGACAATGGTGGTCTTTCTCGACTTAAAAGCAGCATTTGACTCGGTAGAACGCGAGATTCTGTGTCAGTGTCTGTCATTGAAAGGCGTACCTCTTACTTAATTACGTCTGTTACTCCCAATGGAGCATAGGCCGCCGACCAGCATTCTCCAACCCACTCTGTCCTGGGACTTCTTTTCTAATTCCATCCCATTCTTGTTCATTTTTCTCATGTCTATTTCGATTTCCCGGAGTAATGTGTTCTTTGGTCTTCCTCTTTTCCGTTGGCCCTGAGGATTCCATATGAGGGCTTGCCTTGTGACGCAGTACATAAATCTTGTGAAGGTTCTTTACTCGAACACTACTAGTCGAGTCAGAGCTTAAGGCGAACTGCCATCTGCTTTTACAATCTGAAGCGGATGTCCACTTACTCCAATTTTGTTTAACTTCATCATAGACTTACTTATGGAAATAAAATTATTGTCGACTGAATTCTCAGGTATTGATCTCCTTCCAGGAGGTCCACTTATCGACTTAGAATACGCAGATGATATAGTCCTGTTTGATGAAGACGCTGATAAAATGCAATCCTCTGGTAGCACTAAGCAACAATGCCAGAATGTTTGGAATGCGCTTCTCTTCCTCTAAATGCAAGTTGTTGCTTCAGGACTGGTCTGCGTGAACACCTGAACTAAGGATAGGGATTGAAGTAGTCGAACGCGTTGACAACACTTATCTTGGAGGTCTGATCAGCCCTAATGAGTTGGTGTCTGACGAAATCTCAGCACGGATTCGAAAAGCTCATCTGGCTTTTGCCAACTTACGTCTATCAATAAAAGGACGAGTATACTGCGCGGCAGTCCGTTCTGTTTTAATTTGCGGCAGCGAAACATGGCTATTAAGAGTAGAAGACACTTGTAAGCTACTAGTATTTGACCACAGATGTCTTAGAAATATTGCTGGCGTCTGCTGGCATCACCGGGTAAGTATTAGTGGGTTTAAATGTAGGGTACTAGGGAATGATGGTAAATCAGTCGATGAGGTTGTGAATCTTCATTGAGTGAAATGGTTGGGCTACTTGTTGCGTATGGCTGAACACCGATTACCACGACGTGCAATGCAAACCGGTGTTGGAGATGGTTGTAAGAAAGTTAGGGGCGGCCAAACCAAAACGTGGCATCAGTGCTTGAAGTCATTAACTTCTAGTTTGAGCCATGTTGGTAGATGCAGACTACTTGGTTGGGGTCCACGTGACTATCGTAACCAATAGTTGGAGACTTGGTGACATGGCTCAGAATCGATCACAATGGCGTCGGTGTATACACTCTGTCTTCCCTTAAACTAAGAGATTAAAATCGCTTCATATCTTTCTTTCTACCAACTAATTCTTTCTTCCTGTATTATATCCTTATATGCAATCTTTCTTTTGTATATCACCACCTCTAAATTAACTACTTTTATGAATCCGGTGTCCATCTTGTTGTGTTAATGAGGTATGGCAACTTGGACCGATGCATATATGTGACTGGTCCTACGTTGTAGCTGACTGACTTATTTTAGCTTCGATTATGCGAAGATTAATCCAGTCTATAGTTAGCTCATTAGGGCTTAACTCAGTACCGAGATACATGAATGTTGTTTATTGACCAAGAGTTGGCAAATACAGAGGCTTTGTCAATCTCATGAAAGGATCTTACATTTGGATGAAGGGAAATATCAAGCATACATAGCAAATAACATTTAGTTCCCCCATCGAGTAGTTGAGTATGACCCACGCTAGGGGAGCCAATGGTGCTATCGGTTCGCTTGAACCGAATTAGGTAGGGCGGTGTTCCTGCTTGGTTTCCAGTGGCATACTTGAGATGGTCCCTAACTAATAATGTGCAATTTGTATATACTGTAAGTCAATGCACAGTAAAATAATATTTTGTACATAATATTACAAAGATATTAAGAATAAACTGAACACCACCTGTTCTAAATAACTTAGTTATGTTTCTAATTGTTAATTAATTACTAATGATATACCGTAGTCAAGTACAAATAAGTGCACAAGGCTATGGGCTTTGTCTAGATTTGGTCGTCCGAAGCAAGTGTAAATTTTGAACGTGAAACGCGATTGAAAATGAACTAATATAAACTAAGCCTTAACTAAAAAATATACAAAACTAGTACAGGCACAGCAAGTTAGTTGAATAGCTTGCAATTTATGTGTAAAAGTTTGAAACAAATCAATAATGACTGGTGTCGCTTACCTTTGATAAAAACTGAACCACGTGATCTCCTAAAAGGAGACTATTCCTAAGAATCCTAGGAGGAGGAAATGCGCGAGTTGCCATAAACCTTATTATCTCGGGCGCTTGGTCAAATGGCTTCAGAGGTCTCAACTTGGATGCAACGCAGTTGGCTACAATACTATCCGGTTCAGTTTTTACAAACAGCATTACATGGAGTGCACGGATTAGCAGGCCATCGAAAAAGTCATCAACCAACGACGCTATATCTTGCCGGTTTCCCAGCATATAACTTTCCAGTTCATGGAAGAATGCCTCAACGAAATCCTTGTTTTGATCATAGTTATATCCGTAGGAATTTACAAAGAGGTCATGAAAACTTTGCAATGTTAGCTTTAAACTCCCTAACATATAGTCTGGATCATTAGTCAATGTTATGTAACAAACCTTGCAGATAACGAGCGTCTTCCCTTAAATTCTGACTTATGTTAAGCCAGAATATGCGCCAGTGCTCAGTGAATTCAGATGCGCCAAAAAACACAATGTTTTTCAGCGACTCTTGATTACAGCAATCATTGGACTCTGAACCGCTGTTCTCTTTGCACAAATTAACCAGCTGATCTAAAGATAACAAAATGTGGCTTTAATACAAGCGTTACTAGGTTCAAAAGGACGGGAAATGTGTTTATTTAAGATTTCTCTAGCCAACATACAATGTGAATCAACACTCTTGAACTCTGCAAGCCACAGGTCTTCAAATAATATGATGACAAAAACTGCATTGTAAACCCACATTTCCTCCTGAAAATTACATATCTAAATGTATGGCTCGTGTCTAACCTGAAAGTACTTTGAATGCAGGCGACGTGCAGAACTGCGTGGTCATAGAGAGCTTTGGATGATAACAACAGAACTGAGTCGATTCAACAACCATATAGATTGCGATTACATTTATTAATGGGAGCGATCGACAACAATTAGAAACTAAACAAGAGTGGGATAAGCAAAATCTGTTAAACGACACTTAGTTGTAATTCGCTCCAGATCTCTGTCTGCTTTCTGATTGGTTCACATTTACAAACATTGGAGTGGAGGTCATTGCCATATAATCCTCCACATTCACGAGGTCAACCGCTGTCAATTGACCTATTTATGCAAATGGTTATTGCTACTTTGTTCATCATGCAAGATTTAGTGTTATTTCTCTCTATCACAATTCCATTATGATACTGTCAACTTCGAAAAGATTTAGGAGTCCTGGTACCCTACTATTTGAAGTCTTACGCCAACTGTGACAAAATGTCTTTCGACAAAACCTTCCACTGGAAACATTGAAGCACATTTTTGACCAGTTTGACGGAACAACTCTCCAAATAATCTTCAACAGTTTTATTCGTCCCCATTCAGGGTACGGAAACATAGTATTTCCTCATTTCAAAAAGTTAAGAACACTCTGGAGCGTATCCAACGGCGAGCCACGAAATCTGTTCGAGGACTCAAATTCAAACCTTATGAAGAGCGTCGCTAAGCCCTTAACCTTTACCCATTAGAGTATAGGCATCTTAGAGGTGACCTTCTAATGGCTTGCAGTATCCGTAACACTTCTGGACATCCCATTAAACACCTAAGCTTAGTTCCAATACAAAACTAAGGGATAACACCCAGAAATTAGGGACACAACATAGCATAACGAACTGTAGATACAATTTCTACTCCTTAAGAGTTGTCAAATGCTGGAATTCGCTACCGACTGAACTAGTTCAAGCGACTTCCTAAGAGTCCTTTAAGAGGAAACTTGACCTATTCTTAAGGACTAAGGATATCTTATTATGATTTACTAATTTCTTCTCTTTTCTCCTCCACTATCGTTAATATACCTTGGTGATCCACTGCTACTAGACACGAAAGCCTGGTAAGCGAATGCTCCTTCTATTCCGTCCACAACCACTTGAACCATTTGAATTCTCTGACGAGTTGCAGTTTGTCATAACATAAGGCTTCGGAAACCGCGATTGTTGGAGATCAGATCAGAAAACTCGATATAGAGACTGCGCACAACGTCGTGCCTATATAAGATACCAATCGGAGATCACTACGACCATATGTGATCGTGTTTGGATGATGAAACAACCAAGCGGGCAACAGACATGCATTCGCGAGAGACAATCCACTAGCCTATAAGTGAGACATTACGGACGAGTGCTTTTCTGCGCTCGCAGACATTCAACAAACTACTACTTAATTTATCACCGCTACCTACAGCCGAACGAGGATCTGGTCGAATAGTTTCTTTCATTATGGCAGATAGCTGCATAAGCATTTCCTCGTATAAACATGAGTGGACGAGGAGGTTAATACGCTCGCGTTTCGTTGAAGGGCTGTCCTGAGTGTACGTGAACAGTACCTTCTTCGGATTCCAAACGCTAATTCGCGAGATCATCGGAGTAGCTGTGAGATCTCGTCAGTCGGACGATCCTCAAACTGTTTAAGCGATCGAATATTTTCCGGCTAGACGATCTTTGCAAACCAGTCAATACAGCCGGTAAACTCAATGCCTTTATTGTTTATGGTTCAGCCGGAGACCCTGGAAATGTGAGAGTCAACGATTCTAGAATCAAGGTTAGACTAGCTGCTATCGCAAATTTTCACACTATACCGAATCTGTGTATCCCGTTACAATGAGGGTTAGTTTGTTAGTAGCCGAAACTACTATCCTACTAGACACAAGTGTGTCAATATCCATTGTGAAAGAGGAATGTTCTCAAACAGTAAACCTTAACAGCTGGGAAACAACGTGTTTCTCAGTACTCCAAACATCGAGTGGTACCGTGTTGGAAGTACGCTCTATGGTGTGGATAGACGTAATGGTGAACAAACATTCATTTCAACGTAAAATGGTGGTCTGTCTTACATTGAATTGGGATGTGGCACTCGGGGCTGATTTTTTATAACACAAAGTTGGTATATGCGTAGCTAAGGTGGGAACAAAAATCGGGTAAGTGACTGTGCAGACATATCACTCTAAGAAAGCAATAACATGTATGGCACACATAGGGATGTCAAAAATTATACCTCAAGTTCAAAGTAGTGAACAAATAACGGAGGGTGACTGTCTCTCAACTGATTGCTCACTCCGACAATTTAGCTCCGTTTTCTTGGAGAATATCTCTGGAAACCGAACGACTACTGTGCAGTACTCTCTTCATACATGTGAATACATACCACTGCGCTAGCCACCTTGCGGACACACAAGCCACAGCTGAACTCACTGATCAAAGGAATGCTAGAAAAGATTGTTTTACCATCGTCATTACTTGCTAGCATTCAACTTAAGATCTTGCACCCGGATATTGTCAGGCGGAAGTACGAACTCGTGGCAGAAAATTTGTTTTGCCTAATGTCTTCTACGAATTTCAAGTAATGGCTTTTGAAATAGACAATGCCCTAGCCGCCTTCCAACGTTTAATGCAGACAGCTTTACATGACCCGGTTGCACGCGAGTGCCTAATATAACTTGATGATAATATTGTGTATGGCAGCACGCCCAACGTAGCATTATGCCAATTTCAGAGCAGTCCTGCAACATTTGAAGGTGAAATGACCTAAATATCGACCTTTTAAGACAGAAGTTCTCTTTTTAAGGCATCGCATCGCGTCAAAAGGAATAGAAACATATCAAGAAAAAACTGGCGACAGCAAAGTATATTTACAGCTTTTGATGAGTAGACGTATTTGAATTATTATAAGAATTAGAAATCCCAGAAACAACACAAATAAGTTCATGCAGAACTAAGTGTGCACAAACGAACTTATTGTATTTGGAAATCCAAATCAGGCGCACATTAGTTCATGCAAACAACACAACCTCCACAGCTTTAGTAGGAATATATTTCTCGGTAATCAATTAAACATCTTTTTGGGTTCATTATATATCTTTCAATCTGTGTATTGAATACAGATTCGGTATGACCTAGAATATACTGATTAGTATTTGAGTTAACTAATTTAATTGACTTGTAGAATTATGGTCTACTATGATATTAGTACTGCTCTAATAATAGACATGATCCTAAAATTGTGGATTTGTCATGATGTAACTGCCTAATTCGTAAGATCTTATATGTAAATCATACCATTGTCTACAACAGCTCATCGCATCGTAACAATCACCATTACATGATGGAGAACAATCTTAGGCTAGAGATGGAACAATATATTTAATATGAATAAAAGATTATGTCGCAAGGCTTAAGCTCGACCACGACTGCAAGGCCGAGCCATGCCATCCGATCAACTCAATTCATTCTTCCCACCTTCTCTATCGTTGGATTTTTCTCCGAGTTAAATATTAGACATCTATTTTATCGATTGTCTTGTGTTCAGCTTTGAGGATTGTGTGGTTAGGGTCCAATGTCACTACAGACTCGCCTGGTTACTAGAATAATATAAGATCAACATGTCAGTTGTGTACTGAAATGGCTGATATCTAGGATTTGACTTTCCAACACCTGCACGTAATAATTTAGGGTCCTTGTAGATATCAATACCAAGCTTTGGCTTGGTAACTTTGAACGAATTGCTTGTTGGGTAGATTTTAAAAAATTAATATTTGTAATATTATGGTATATTAAGCATTATGTAGAGCATTATATGTTCCGTCGTACCATTAAAACTTGAATTGATGTTGATTTGGTTGTTTATTCTCTCAAGAAGTGGCTTACACTAAGTCACAAAATGTCAGAACATCTATTTTTTGTACTCATTGGGATATTACAAATAAAGGATTCATTGGGAGTGACCTTGTAGTGACTCACTTTTACCACGAGAACACGACTGGTTTATTGAAAACAATTATTGTTATAATCATTTGTACCAGTGTTTGCTTTAATCTGCTTTTGTTTAACTGTGCCAAAAAGCATCCATTATTCACACACTTTGATTGTGGCCTCGCGCGAATTCGGTTACGTTCAGTAACCAAGCTTGTATACAAGCACGATCTCGGTATCCTTTCGATATCACGATATCGCCAGCAAATATGTCTCGATTTGGTACATTAACTGCTTTCTGATATTTAACTTACGGAGGATTTTATGTATATCCTGACACGCGTTCCTTTGTAGTGGTGTTCATAGTCAATCTCGACTCGACACCACGCTACAACCTCATGATGAGGAAAAGCAAGTTGACATAGAATAATCCTAATTGAACCCGAAATTGAGCTCATTTAGTACTAATGCTTCGCATTGAAAAATTTTCTCACAAGAAACATGCATTCTAAAGACAAATAAAATTTTGGTATGACAGAATTTGATTAATCTGGAATATTTTCTTATATTTTATGAAGGATTTTATTGAAGAATTGTGGATCATTAGTAAAATCATCAGTTAACAAAACTGCGTCAGCTTTTTAATCATGATTCCATTCACTCAACATATTTTCCCCATACTTAGAAGAAATTTCATTGGAAATATTTAAGCCATTAGGACAAACCACATCTGGTACAATAACATGAGAAATCTGATTGAATAGAGAAAATAATTCCAAAATTTTTTACAAATGAACCGTTACTTTCAAAATCTCAATATCTTCATTGTTCATAGTCCGGATTTCTAACCTTTCAAAATAATTCTCAAAAGCAGCTCGATTTGAATGTATGTCCAACTATCCCATCACAGGCTTGATCGAGACACCGGCATGATGATTAGAAGTATCTGAACTATTATATAAAGTAGGAATCCCCGAAATAACGCAATTATTGCCAAATAGTACCAATTGATCACAATGAAACATATTGATTTTGGAATTTGAAATCGGGTACAAAGAAATCACTAGGTCACACAAACACCTTACAGCTTTCTAAGAATTGCTTCGTACTGTAGATGTTTTGTACACGACGTCGCATCTCTGGCAGCAGCTTTACATCGCCCGACTCATAAAAGACAACACATTTTATGAACTTCAGAGTACCAACAGCCAGTTAACACTTAGAAGTCATTCTTACTGCTCCGCTCAGACCAATTGTTCAGGATGCGTTGGTTAATCAGAGTAAGGTTTTACTAGATGCTTCAAATAGCACAAGATGATTATGAGCGGGTTATAGCTTCTGCTAGTCAGCGGCTGGATAAGGGAAAAGGGATATTCTACCACATGCCGAGAAATGACGGCTCTAATGAAATTGTTGCGGCATTTTTGCCACTACGTCATAGGATGCACTTTTCGTACATTCATAGACCATCATGCATTTCAGTGGCTTCGTTCGTTTCGCGAGCCAGAAGGTCAAATGGAGCGACGACAGGAGCGTTTGAAGATTTACGCTTTACATGTGGGTACCGGCCTGAAAGCCGACATACAAACACTGATTCTCTATATATATTATTCCCCTGTTCTTAGAACTAAACTAGATATATTTCCATTGTCATATAGAAGAACTAGATGGTATTTAATTACATTTTACAAATTACCTAGTGATAAATCTGCATCTGATATGCCTCCATTTTTCTTGTCTTCCGTAACAGAGAATTTACAAAGACACTTCAATAAAGTTCACAAGCCCAGGACAAATTACTTGTCAGCTGACTATCAAATTTCCCATCGAATCATCAACGACTTGAATTAGTTAACTCAACACGTGATTGAAGCTCCGTCTGTGGACTCTTTCAAAAGAACGTTTTATCAACTAAGATCATCATTGTCAGGACTAACACAGGCCATGATTGTTTTCGTATGTTAAACGGCGGACGAAACGTAGTGATGGTATTCCCCCGTTACTGTTACACGAAAATTCAGAATTATTAGCTGAATCAGATCGAGCAAAAGCTGAGACTTTTTCAAACTATTTTAGCGAAGTCTTCTCTACATTTATTGTAACAAATACTTGTCCCACTCACACCGAGATACCAACCATTGAATCTGTACAGGTGATTGAGGAAACTGTCCTTCCGTTGATAACTAACCTCAAACCTGGTAAGATACCAGGCCCCGACGGGTTACATCCACGGTTGCTGTCATCTCTTGCGGACATTATTTCAAAACCGCTTGCGACACTCTTCAACATGTCCCTTTAACTCGCTCAACTTTTTAAGAGATTGGAAGGACGCTGTAGTCAGTCCTATATTTAAAGACGGTCAGCGACATATAGTATCCAACTTCCGGCCTGGGCTCGAGAGTGGGGCCTAGAAATCAATGCTAAGAAGAGTGTGCTAATGCACATCGGTCACGGTAATTGTTACCGTTACACTATAGAGGGTAAACCTCTTCCTTGCGTTCAAGAGCATAAAGACTTAGGAGTAGTATTAAGTCATGATTTAAAAACAACTACGCATTGCAAATCAGCCGCTGTCAAAGGTTTTCGTGCGTTATGGTCGAGTAAACGTTTCGAATTTTATATCCCATATATGTTAGACCACATTTAGAGTACTGTATCCAAGCAGCTAGCCCGTGTCTGGTAAAGGATCCTAACTCCCTTGAGCGTTTCCAGCGTGTGGGAACGAAATTAGTGAAGGGTCTTTATAGACTCCCTTACGGTGAGCGTTTAAAACGCCTAAATCTTTTCCCCTTGTCGTATCGTAGGACACGAGGTGACCTTATACTGGCATTTCGTATCATTAATTATGATTTGGGTGTTAATATCTCTCTAGCACTAATAATCTCCGAGGTCATAGCAAGGAGGTTCATAAACCACGATCTAATAAACTTAAAGTGGGGTCCCGTTTTTCTCATCGAGTAATCAATCATTGGAATGCCTTACCCGAACAAGTGGTATCAGCCCCATCAGTGAATACTTTCAAGGAGAAGCTGGACCTTCGCTGGAAAGCAGTGTGTCAGGATTAATACAGGTTCACCAACCTTCTATCCTTATTACTGAAGACTGAAACATGTGCTACACATAATTGCCTTGGTTTGACCGCTTCTGCAAAACCTTACGGACAGTCGAGTTGATGCACCAATCGTTTGACGACAATTTGACCTTCAAGTGCTCAGTAACCTCCATCAATGAACGATGCAAATTGTAGTATTGCATGTGCTATCGCCATTTGTTATCGATTGCTTTCACTGTTGAATTCGAGTGCATCGTATTCGCTTACAAGATCATTTGCTAACCTTCCATATCATTCCTTTTCTACAAGATTTACTCCCTACTCTGCTAATTTTTTCAACTGAACATACTTTCAGCATAGACTCGAAGCGCTGCTCAAATGCTTACTGCATGCAGAGAGGTTTATTTATCTCTAAAACACTCGTTCATAGGCTGGGATTTAAGGTTTGCTTTTTAAAAACTTTGAAGCATCACTTACAGTTATGGTATTGTTAACGAGACTTCTCTACCTGATGTTGTGATGTACGTCTTGTGTATTTCAAGTAATTGGGTTTAGTGATTCAGAATTTGGCAGACGAGTTCCTACTATCTCGCTTTTGACGGTTTCTTCGAAGGGTTCGTACCTGTCTGTTGCAGATAACCTAAAGAGGCTGTTTCTTTATGTTAATGAAAATGACCACTGGTTATTGGTTTCACAATTGTAAGTGACGCCCATATTCGTTTAAATTTGTTTAGGAAGCTGAACAAACAGGTATCGTGTCTTATTTTTTCTCCAAGTGAAAAAGCTTTACTTATTGGAGACAAGTCCGGAGATGTTTTCAAACTCACTCTGTGTCCGGAGAAGCCCATTCACGATACAGATTTGACTCTTCTTTGCGGACATTTCTCAATACTTAGTCACATGGTGAGTGCTTGTTTGTTCACCTTCTTCTGTCATTCTAACTTATTAATTGTCGTCGTGTTGTTGAATTTCAGGTTGGGAACTTCATGAATTATCCTGTTTTGCTTTTCAACTACACGTTGATATTAAAGCTTGTGATGCTTTCTAGATTCACAGATTAAAATAGTTAGAATTCTAAACTTAGTGACCGAAGTCTGATTACCACAATCACTAAGCGATTAGTCAACTTATGTGTTACCGTTATTTCCTTTTGTTACTACCCTCTAATTGTATCCATACTCCCAAAAAGTTCTGTCTTACAGATGTCTTAATCCGCGTTTAACTCAGCATAGAATGAACTCAGTATGCTACATCAATCTAAACAAAATAGCAGGGTAATATAGTTGGACCGATTGACTCATACAAAACTCTGTCTTTATAAATAGGTAACAAAGCAAAATCACCCAGAGAGAGCGACTTTTCGTCTGTTAGATACCGACTATATAGTCTGCTGAATTCCTCAGATGTATGTAATAATTCATATTATGACAAGGGTGCCCGGTGTGTGGACACAAATATCATTCACAGCAGCTTCTCTAAATGAATGAGTGCACACGTTGAACTGATATCGAAATATCTTTCGAGAAGCCAGTATTTTTGAAAACATATGTTGTAAATAACAACAGTATGTTTGTTCATTTTTCATTCTACCAAATTCGCATTATTATTATTATATTTCTGAGACGATATGACATTGTTCTCCGAAGTAGCTTTATCCTTTATTTCTTGCTTATCTTCCTCGTAAGACTTGTACTAAACATAGTGAATTATCAGTCCAATATGGCTTTATCTACTAAAATGTGGCTCATACTTTATAAGGGCTAACAAGTACACTTAATTAAGTAGGAGTATCAACTGGTTACAAAACTTCCGTGGAATGCTTTTAGCAGTTATTTACGGTTTCTCATTCTTCACATGACATGGGTTTTTAATTGTTAACTTTCCGGTCAAGTGATATTTTATGCTTCAAGTTCCTAATTATAATCTTAGTTCATTCATGGCATTTATAAAAATTTCCGTTTATATGCATTTTTCTAGTGAGATACTGATACTTTTGTATGACAACTTATTATGTACATCTTACGGTTTATTAGGCTATTTCGGAGGATGAAATGTACTTGGCGTCTTGTGATCGTGATGAAAAGATACGGATTAGTCGATTTTCTGAACCCTATGTTATCCAATCATTTTGTCTTGGTCATAAATCGTATGTTGAGTGTGTTGGACTAACTTTTAAAAACAAACAACAGGTTCGTTTCTCAGCTTGGATTTATTCCCGACACTCGATATTTAATCTCAACAGGAGGAGTAAGTTGAAAGACTCGCTACTTTTAATTGAGTTAATTCTTGATTTCCACACCTATAGTTTCCTCAAAAGATTGGGACTGGTAGTTGTCGCTCATTTTTTGTCACAGAATCTTTTATCATGTGGTTATTTTTGTCAGTTTACCAACCAAGATAGTTCTTAGAGTTTCTGAAATGCATAGACTATTGAGGTCCGAATAATATTTCAACATATGTAACTACACACAAAGTAAATAGAATTTTTATCATCTCAAAATATGTATCATTAAGATTGGAATTCCGAAGCATTTTTACTGATTATGTCAGTGTAATTCTCGTCACGCTGTGTTATTCCATCAACCCACTCACAAGGCGCCCAAATTTTATGTTTGATAGAGTTTAGGACTGGCAGACAATTTCCACTTTTGATGCTGCACAATGTTAGTGTATTAGGGTATACTTTTCGCTACTTATCTTAATCAACATGTTTGACATTTTCATGTAATCACTTTAACAATTTATTCCTGGTGTACGGTTGAAAGCGTTAGTCACATTACAGAAACCAGACAAATTCAACTAAAACCTGAATATTTTTCCGAATATATCAAAGTAGTCTTAATTGGAGGCTTCAGTGTACGAGTATGGTGGTTAGATCAGAAAGTAATTTTAAAATCCTAGTTTGAGGAGCTGCAATATTCCTAATCTTGATCGTATTCATAATCCACTTTATCCTCAAGCTCTTCTGGTTTTTCACACTGATAATTAAAAGTCAGTTTGTTAGAAATCGGTACAAAAAATAACCTGTAAAACCTAATGTACATGATTCCATCTACGAACAAAGGGCATATGCCGTAGTAATGACCACTTTTCAAATACATCAATTTCCAATAATTGTCGTTCTTTGAATTATGTAGCTATCTTGACTTGGTTTACGTTCATTGAATTTCAGCCTGTTTATGGTGTTTTTTAATTCTCTCAGTTTCATGATATTTGAAGTTAAGTTTTTCATAAGCTGTATTAGTTGACAGATATTACGAATGCATTTAGTCTGATACCAGATAAAAAGTAGTCCACCGGATACGAAGTTGTTCTGACTGACCGGAGCTGGAACTCAGTTGTTCAACGTTACACAGAAACTTCAAAAAATTGCTCCTGGTTCTCTATACTCACCAGGTTTCTACTGTAGTTCATCATTTCCGTAACATTTAATACGGAGTTAGTAGATTGGCCCCCTAAAAAACCACCCTTTTATGGTTTGAGGACCCGGTCAGTATCTCAGCCCACACGCAAATAGAGTTAAAACTACTTTGTGACGCATATATATTCTGGTGCTCTTTCGTACCAATGTTAATAGGTTCGAACAATTAAAAACAAATGTGTTTCTTGTCCCACTTATAAATTTCGGAGTTGGTGTCTGGGATCATTTAGAGCTTTCTGCCGGTGAAACGTGATTAGAAAAGGTTGAATTTGGTGTAAAGTAATTGGTTCGGAAGGGCTTTGTTTAATGTTTCTTTGGTAATCTTAAAAAAGACTTCGATATATCAATAAAACCTTGACGCTCTTCTGATATTTTCAATTTGCATCACTAGGTCAAGTTGAATGTACATCAGCTACATCATGATAAATAATAAATGCATAAACCTAGCTGTGACCGATATTAAACTAAGCTAGTTGTCTTTATCATTTTGTAGTATGAAAATGTAGTTGCGGTAGAGCACCAACAAGAAATAATCCGTACCGATGCAGAGATAATTCGAACTGACACGTAATTGCATAAAAACTCATGTTTTTTCTGTCTATATATTTGTTGGCTTACATTGTCTATTTTTCTACTTAATTTAGGATGGATATATAAGTATTTGGAATTGTGAGTCGGGCCACTGTCTATCATCGTATTATGTTTCGAAAAGTGAACTCCCATCTCTTTCAGCTTCTACGGATTCGCAGTTCAATTTTAAGTCGGAAGCTGTTATTTCTAGGTTTTATTTTATCAAAGATGTTGTCGTTTGTTGTTTCTTATCGTAAGTTGAACTTTCAAGCTCTATTAGCTTTTTTCTTATCTGCTAGGCTGTCTATAAAAAAGGTAGATACCAACACAAAACTTTATACAATACTGCACTTTCAAGTTGTCCGTAAACTGTATAATGATCAGAAATCTCAAGTATTATAATAAGTTTAAATAGCTTTTACAATGTTATCGTCCATAATGAAAGGGATTTTAGTTTTTTGAAACAAATTCCTGGGCAAGACTGGAATTACGTTTAGATTCAAACTCACAAAGTAGACTTGCGGATGCTGAATTAGTATTGAATTCAAGGTAGAAGTGTACTTCTTGACTAAATATTATTCAATGATCCTTTTTGCGTCACCACCAACTCTAAATTGCGATACTGGCCGAATTAGGGTTAGGTTGGGTAAAGTCGAAAAATGTCCAGATCAAAGTCGCTACTGGGTTCCACAAGTTTCGACTTGATCTTACCTCTAGAAGATCCAGATTTTCTGTATAAGGTATTAAATACGACAGATGAAGCGTGATAATAAAAAACCCACTCTTTTTATCATTAAACCCTGGACGTTTTGTAGTTCGTGATTCACATCCCATTCTAAACTGGTGCCGTCGCTATTTGTTTTCAGAGTTTTTCTTTTCTCTGTGCTGTTACGAAGTGTACAAACTTTATGTTATACATGTTTGTATGAAACTGTACATCAACATACTTAACCAGCTCCTTGCCTCACCAAATTTAATAAACAGTCATCACTTTGCATAAATTGAAATATTTTATTGAGTATTTTCAGTTTTCCGTTTAAAGGGATTAAAGGCGGTATGTTATTAATATCCTAGAGTGAAGTAACGCTATCGACTGTACTGGAAATTATTAACAGTGAGGTGTTTACCATGACTCATTTATTAGATTAATCATTCATTAAAAACAGGTTTGAAACAGACGGTATAACTTTCCTTATTGTAACCACACCATATTATAGATGAAAACCAACAATTCAACTCTATTATGTTGGTTGCCTTCAAGCACATGACACTAATTTCTAAGACTACTGATATATAGTTTTAAATGTTGGAACTCAGACATTATTGGTTCAGTCTGATCGAACTGTTATAATCAGGTGCCTTTCGCCAAAGTCATCACTATCCTTATTTTTATACATCTTTTCATCAATGTTATCCTAGAAATAACACTTTCTCCCACTAACTTTTCATACCGGGAGGTTTGCTTATCGAGTTGAAATATGTAAATGAAATAGCCCTATTTGGTGATGCTGACAAAATGTAGTCTTTTGATCGAAATGAACAGCATTACAAACATTTGTTATGCGCAGATCTCCTTCTGAAGGTGAAATGTTCATCCACAACTGGTTTACTTTAACGCCTGAACCAATGATAGAAATCAAAGTAGTTGAGTGTACTGATCATTTCACTTATTCTGAAAGTCTCATAAATCTTGTAGGGTCGGTGTGTAGTAAAATGTCGTCAAATATTCATAAAGTGCAGTTAGGCTTTGCCAACTTGTGTCACTTATGACATAGGTGGCATGCCCTCCTGACAGTCAAAGGGGGTATATATTGTGCGCAATAGTCTGCTCTCCATTACGTTATGGCTGTGCGACACAGTCTTCCAAGGTAAAAGGCGTGCATAGGTCTTTGGTTTGAGCCATATTGGTAGATTCAGACTATCTGATTGTGGTCCACGTGATATTTGTAATCAATTATTGGGAACTGATATATGTCTCAAAATAGTTCACGACGTATTTACTTTCTATCCTTTTTACACTTTTGAATTCCAGTATTCCTTCATATATACACTTTTTCAATCTCTTTTCAAATCATATTCTCGAAATTTAGCCTCTTTTTATCATTGAAATTACATTATTTAGATTTCCTTTATTATTTTCAATCCGTCGTGCTAGTGTAGTATAATAACTTGCCCCACGTACATTTTTCCTAGGCTTTTTGTTTGTGGTGTCTGTCTGTCTTTAAGTTGGTGGGGACCTTGATGCTATTGCATATATACTGCTAGTAACATAATCTATTTTCACTTCACTTCCCGTAAAAAATTATTTACAGCAACCCAGTACTGATGGCGTTTCATATTCATATAAATGAAGATGAAGTTGTCTCTTGGGGATCGAAAGCTTTTACTTCTACAGAGGATAAAATGCCATTTACAGATATAGCTCTATGTTCAAATGATAATCGTATTATTGGACTGTGTTCTAATGTGACTAGTGTTCGTCTCTACTCCTGGAAATTGATTATTCAATACAATCCTTGCCAACCATCTTGCTCTGTCAAATGGGATGTTGTAAGTGTTAGATAATATTTTCCTATTTAATTAAAAGAATGCAATAAATACTAGGAAAACAACTTTGTTTAGAGCAAGATGAAGTATGTATCATAGTAGAGGAAAAGAAGTGAAAATCGTATTAAAACAACGGTTTAGTGTGAAGAGCAACAGGAAAGAATTTGTTTTCCACACAGTCACTAATGAGCACAATTTTAAACCATATCAGAATGTCGTGTAATTATGAATATTAAGTCCATAATCACATGTTTCATTTCACTGTATGAAATAACTTAGTGCGATAGGATTCGTACAATAGATTCGTTATGCTGCAGAGTTTAGGGTTTGTTATGAAGATGTTCTGGTTGTTGAAGTGGTGTATATAATGCTGATCAATAAGTGATTGACTGATGACAACGCTATAGTTGTTCTTCCCCTCAATAAAGCCGAATAGCAATCATAGCAAAATAAATTAAATTCATTTATTTTATTGACAGTCTTCCATTGCATAGTTTTAGTCTAAAAATTCAGTTAAAAATGATTAGTCAAGACTGAATTTTAGTAATTGCAGAACGTGGATCTGTATGCCTACTCATTTTCACTAAAGTTGTTATTTATTTATTTATTTAAACACATAAACATTGGTACAAGGAGGCACCAAGTAGATATGCGCCACATAAACCATTGGTTTGGAATCCGGTTAAAGCGCCGGACATTCGCTTTTCGTCCTCTCAATTTCATAAATAACACCCCCGCCACGAGAAGTCAGTGAGTAAGACTTCCCTGGCAGAGGCTGTATACTCGTGCCCGTGTGAGAGCATTTCGAAAGGGAGGGCGGGCCCATCCCACTCTCGGCCATACCAGGGCATTTGTTTTGCTTCATAGTTAAGGTATTATTTTTACTGCTTATTATATGTAATTTCAAGAAAGATCTAAATGACAAAATTTTATTCTTTTTATTAAATAGCCTCAAATTGTTGATTGCATACCAAACAGCTTTCTTCTACAAGTTCCAGGTAAGTGGTTTTAGGTTTTATATGTACTGTATAAACCATGTCTGTTTTCCTTACATAATTAGTGCATCTTAAATACGCTTGCCCGATAAACTACCATAATTTTGCTTGTGAAACAAATTGTAATGGGTTGGATAATCATAAACTCCGCCTGTAACCCTTCGTGGTTTAAAGCCGGTCCCAAGACTGGATAAAGAAAAAGAGTTGGGTATGAGGTTAACAACCCTATCCCATAGAAAACAGCCTTGCTTGGATAAACAGAATAAACAATTTGAACCATTTACAATCTGCTCTGAAAGTTGAAGGAACTTCATTCATAAGAGTCATGGTCCCTCATGATGAAAGCCGAAATTCTTCAGAAATCACGAAACTGATTCCCTTTCTAACAACCAGAACAACAATTAACTTTGGTATGTGGAATGTCCGGACATTGTGGAAGACTGGGAGGGCCAGCCAAATGACTACAAGAATGAGGAGATACAACTTGACAATATTCGAAATCAGAGAATCCCATTGAACTCAAGCTAGACAGAAAAGGCTAGATCCTGGAGAGATGCTGTTGTACTCTGGTCACGAAGAAGAAAATGCTCCGCACACATAGGAAGTTGCTCAATGTTGTCCAAATAAGCACGAAAAGCACTTATGGAATGAGAATCTCACAGAACCAGGATCATCAAAGCATCCTTGAAAACAAAGATAGAGGAGATCACAGCGAATGATATCCAGTGTTATGCACCCACCAATGATAGTAATGAAGATGATAGCGATCAGTTTTATGAGACGCTTCAGTCGATCGTAAGGAAGTGCCCATAAAAGGACGTGGTTAGTATAAAGAGCCATTATGATTTACCCTTCGTGTACCTGCAGACTTGACTAAGACTTCTCGTGGTTTTGCTGGTGTGAGTATAGCACCAAGTTCATAGTAATCCTATCAAGTAATTTTAATACTAGGGCGTAAAGAAGTTGAGTACATCATTCACTTCACTTATCCTAAACGTCTCATAGGTTGTCGTATGTTGTTCGTGTTTGGTAAAATCTCGACAAAGGTTCAGAAAGCTTATTTAACTTTTGCCAGCTAATTAAAATTCAAAATGTGATTTATGTACAAAGTATGGCATAAAAAATAGTGATTATGAAGTACATTCCGTCTAACTGATGATTATTAAGATATGAAAATAAATGTGACAATCAATGATTATTCACTTCTGCCTTCGCCTTTGTCGCTGCAATATAATAAATCACTTGTTTTCTTTATGTTTAATGATTTTCAGTTCCAAGTCCCCGAACAGAACTTTTGAAATTATTCTTCAAGTGCACAGATAATAGCTCAATGTTACAAGCGTATGAATCAAATAAACAATTGCATCAACACAATGTAACTCAACGTCATATACGTAGTCAAAAAACGCGCAAGTTGAATAAAACTCGACAGAATTCTGTTGATAAAGAATTAAATGTATAAAAAACCACTCACTATCTAAATGTTATTCTTAATATTGTTGTATTGGCTTAAAAAGTGATGTTGTAGACCCTCAGTAGTAATTATTTTGCAGGCGACTTATTATTATTTGCATAGAAACGTTGATATTATGGAAAGTTCGTTATAGTCGACATACACCACTATATTTTGAACTCATTATTTGTTTCCATAAAGTCTATCGGGGAATGTAAGATTTTACGATCGTTCCTTGGCTGATAGAAGCTAATCACCAATACTATCAGCTCTTATCAATATAAACGTATTATTTTAGTAGTCTTCTGTCATCGTTATTTCAAAGTAAAGTAAAACAAATAGGAATATTAGTGTTCTCACTTACAAACTTCCAAAACTTTTAAGTTCATCAGTTATTAGTCAACTTCTGTTTTTACGCAAATTATTCTTTACTGTTTGCTTAAAAAGTTATGCAAATTAACAGAAGACTGTAATAAAGTTTTACTGATTATGTCAGCTTATAGTGAGGTACGATCTTAGTCACCTTTGTTCTTATCGCTTTTTTTAGCTTTTCCATAGATGGGTTATTAGTAACTGTCTTTTAACCCTTTCTAGATCTTCCACTAGGGAGTTATGTCAGCGTAGAATACAGGGCATAGTCATTTATACCAAAATGTATTTTTCTCTTGTAGACAACTGACTTTCGGTTCTAATGGTTTTATATCTGTTCTAAGTGTGATAACTGAGATCGTTATTCACATCATATTTCGTTGTTAGCTATATTAACATGTGACACCTGTTTCCAGTATGCTACTTCTCATCCCTTCTATGGAAAATCAGGCTAAACTTTGATAGTTCCTACTTTAAATAGATATCGATAGGAAGCGTTTGTTCGGGACTGTTACTGTTTTTGGAGCACCGTTTATTTTGGCCGAATGACTCTTGTCAGTCAATTTCACTGGATATCAGTCAGTTACAACGTAGGACCAGGCACATACATGCATCGGTCCAAGTTGCCACACCTCATTAGCACAACAAAGTGAACACTAAATTCATAGGAGTAGTTACTTCAATGGTATTAATATATAAATGAAAGATAGCATACCTGTAGCTATATTTTGCATCCTCTTTGTACTCGGTGAATTAAAAGCTAACCTCAATTGATATGAATAAGTCAGTCTTGAGACGATTTTATGTTTTGACTAGTTCATAGATTTACGAAATCGCATCACTACCAACTGTTTGGTATGTTAAATGATCTTAGCTAAAATTAAATTTATCAGTATTAACTGTAAACCTGCAACAATACTTTTTCCTTTTAAAAGAATGAAAATATTTGAGCGGAGAGAATTATCTGAAGCTATACAGTCGTCTTCATAAGTAATTTTTGCATGTAAAAGTCTATAATAAAATAGAGGAGTTCCACGTAATTATCAAGGGTTGTCAAACCTTTCTAGGTGGAAGTCAATAAAGATGAAGTGATGTTGACAATATTGTCATGCATTGAATTTGATCATTCAAAAATGGAAGGATAAAACGGGGTTGGATCATTCAGCAAAGTAATCGGAAATCACCAAGAGCTTACGTAGTTGTTTTCGAAGTAATAAGAGGCAATGATCTGTAGAATGAAAGTTAATGATAACCATTTACTTTATACAGAGAAGATGGTGAAGAGTAAGATAATAACAATAACCAGCACTTAAGATTTGTAAAATTCAAAGACTTTTTAAGACTGGGAGAATAAGGGGTTAGGAATGACTCGTGTATACAGAGTTCGAGTTTGAGATGATGAGTTGCTACAGCCTGCTATGTGTAGTAATTCCTCATCCAAACATTTTTGAGTCGGTTCTTTCCACTTCTCTTCATTTTGAACTACGATTCACGTAGTGAATTTCGATCCGAGTCTACCATGTGTTCAGGGACTGAGCTGTTAATTGATCCTTATTCCCCTTTAGATAGCCATATGAAGTTTTGCTCAGATATTAACTTACCAAGTCCACGCTTTGTATGTTCAACATCCTCTCCGAGCTGAAGATGTTAGACGACTGTGTTCGATCATCGCTGTCTCCGAAGGATTGCTGACATCCAGTGCCAACACCACGTTAGTAATGCAAAGGTTCGGCATCGTGTGTTCGGGCACAGAGACGATAATTCAATTGGTGTCATCATCTTGAAACATCGACTTCGGTGGCTTGGACATGTTCTCCGAATGTCGTCCCAGAGAATTCCACGTTGTGCATTATTCGCCGACGCTGGGACTGGTTTGAAAAAGCGAAGAGGTGGTCAGTGTATGACATGGTGTCGTGGTATGAAAGAAAGCTGCAAAGGACTGGTTTGTGTTGGTCCTTTACGACTCTCTGGTTGGGGTCCGAGAGATGTTGCAACACAGTGGCTGGAGACGTTATCAGATATGGCTCAGAATAGAAGCCAGTGGTGATCCTGCTGTAACCTTATTTTACTTTCTTCATTTAAAAATATGGTTGTATCTTCCTTAACTGAAAGATTTCTTCTAATTGTACCTTCCCGTTTCCCCCATTATTACTATTATTATTATTACACTACCTTACACTAATCTATTCGTTATTGTTCTTTTTTCTCTCCTCGAATTCTCATTGGTTTGTGTGGCGCATATATATTTGGTGCCCTCTTGTACCAATATTTATGTGTTCAAATAAAATAAAATAAAAACGTTCAATATAGCCCGCTTGACATGAGTAATAATAAATGTACACTGAGGTGGTCCAAAGCACCAGTTTATCCTTGACATTTCTGTGATTGGGGTTTTTGCTGAAGAAAATAGTTAAGAGCTCTTCTGAATAAAAAGTTTTTCTCAAGGACATTTATAATTTGTCGTTTAATATCTTGGATGTTGTATCTTCCTTGACTTCAGCGTTCAAGAATAAAACTTTGATTTTTATTAAAAAAAGATCAACTGTACTTAAGTTAACTCTCTCCAAGTGTACTACTATTTTCGAAAAACTACTCAAGATCATGATGTTAATAAATACTCAACTGTTTAATACTGAAGATTGAGTATCAACAAAGAAACATCAGTATTCTCGAAATAATCAAGTTGAATGTTCAAAAACGGCATTCCTTCTCAAAGCAGTTAATGTTTCGTATCGTAAATAAATCATTTACCAGCTAATCAAATATGTTCGAACTCGGAAGTGACCATTTGTTGTGTTATGTACTATATGGGTTCATCCTCCATAAGTTACTTTGAATTGAAAGTATAACTTTCAGGGTTGGAACAATAACGGCTATTCAGGATTTTCTATTTACAAATACCTGTTTGAATATGTTTGAGCTCTATTTATTTATTTAAACACAAGCATTGGTACAAGGAGGCACCAAATATATATGCGTCAAATAAATTATTCGATTTGTGTGAGGGCTGGGATACTACTGCTCGGGTGCCCAAACCAAAACAGGTGGTTTTCATATGGGAGCACACCCCGAGCGTTTGACCTGAGGGTCTAATCCACAAGGTAGTGGAGCAACATCAGTAGGTGCAGACCCATGGTAGGCGGTGACCGACACTTGGTTCATACACCATTTGTTTCCTCAAGATGCTGGAACTCATGTGCACAACTAGTTTGGAATGAGGGTTCTCCAACTCCCTTAGGTGCACTCTCCGTGTTCACTAATCCGTTTAGAGCGCCGGAAATTTTCTTGTCGTTCCCTCAATTTCGTAAAAAACATCTCGTAGGAGAAGGCAGTGAGTACGACTTCCCTGGCAACGGTCGTATACGCGTGGTCATGTGAGAGCATTTGAATAGGAAGAGCTGACTCTCCCGACTCTCGGTCGTACAAGGGCATTTTGGGGCTTTTTTATAGTTTTACTATAAATTCCTCATCTATCTAAATAAACTATCAATGTTATTATGTCATGTGCGTAAGTTTTGTTATGTAAGAAAAAAAACATGTAAATGTATGGTAGAAAACTGAGACAGCATAAACAAACAAAGTGAGTTAGTTTACATTTATGTACATATCGTAACTACTTACAAATATTTGCAAGTAGCGTTGGATTGAATCGTTTATCTCTTAAACTTATTCTATTAGAACAAATGTTAAGAAAAACAATGTATGTGTGTGTGTATGGTTAACCTAATGCCAAATAAAAGATAGTATTATCTTTATTCAAATAGAATTTTCCAAAGATTCATTCTGTAGACGAATAATTTAGTTTTTTTTTTCCTAAATCAAATAGTTACCCTTTTTCTTTTATATTAATGTGTTTAATTATAGTATTTGTACGAACTAATGATTCTTTTAATTACAAATTCCATAGCTCAATGGATATATATATATATATAATACATTGATTTGTGCCCTTATCTAGTTCTACCTGCTTTGACTTACATCATTTCAGGAATTCATAGTTAATACATAATCATATTGTTGCAAGTACAATCAATTTTTATATGGGATAGAATAAGTAACTATTGTAATTATGTACTTTTAATTAAACTAAATAAACAGTAGTAAACGTGTTCAGTTATTCAAATGAATGAAAACGAATACTGTTGAATAGTTTAATAGGTCAACTTTTCCTTAAAATATAACAACAACAACAACAACAGTTTATACTTTGTTGCATAGCGATTCATAAACGACCTTGAAGAATAAAAATAGTTTTATAAAGTTAACTTATTCTCACAAAGAATTAGTTTTTGATTGAGATCATGAACTGATTGATGTTAGACCACCATTCAAAACCTGGAAGCACTAGACGGCCGTTTCGTCGTATTGTGAGACTCCTCAACAGTGCGCATCCTTGCGGGAACCGAACCTAGGACCTTCAGTCTCGTGCAAGAACGCTTAACCTCTAGATCATTGGGCCGGCATCCAACGGTTCTCAATGATGGTCGAACATCAATCGGTTCATGATCTTAATCAAAAAGTTAGTTATCTCCACAAGTTAGTTATTTTTAAGGTGAATAGAAGACTAGTAACTGACTATGATGACTAATGTAAGTGAAAAATAAAATTATTTTACACTTTAGTTAATTTTTCTAAGACTTGTTTACTAGTATTAGGACATTGAATCAAATATGGTAGTGCAAATACATAAATGTTCATTACATAGCCGAATTCGAGCTTAGCTTTGAAACAAAGTGAATGTTTGTACTGTTACTACTAACAGGAAGGTGTTTCTAATGACATATCTTTTTAAGCCAGTTAAATTAATAAGATATTGGCTATCATACTAGACAACATTGTTGGTAAATAGGACATTGACGTCTAATCATTATCCATTGTTGGATACTACCATTTCAGATGTATTAAATAAACATATACCATTATAATAACTTATTGTAGAGATACAATTTCCCCAATCCTTGTCTAAAATTATATTTTGGCATTGATTGTTGATCTAAGAACAGACGTATGGACTTCATAGATTATAAGGGGATGAAATGGTTTTTATTTTTTATGTACTATTGGTTAGTACCAGTGTTGTGTATGCTACTTATGTTGACACATATAAGTAGTATGTAGCACCGATCGAATACAGGTTATCTGGCAGAAGAAGATTACAATGAAGAAAACAGGTAGGAAGTCTGAGAGTAATCGAATTAACGACATAATTAGAGGAATAATAGAGTATGTAAAGCATAAAGTAACGAAGATGTGCAAATCATGTTCTTAATATATGATTTTCATATTTTACTAACTATTTGTGTGATTTTGCATTGAACAGTAAATTGGTTTTATCCACTTGGGTTCCTGTTCACTAATACAATAGTTGGATATAAGGCGTTCGCGCCTTTTGAGATGTAGTTATAATAGGGAAAATCTGACGACACATTATCGTGAAATATTATTTCGTATAGATATATAGAAACTGATTAGGAGATTCTAGGACATCTCGATGAATAATATATTTTGTCTTAATTTCGATTGTCAGTTTAAATTTCAAGAAATAGGGGGATTTTAATTCCCATTTATATGATACGAAGGAAATTCGTTGATGTGGTTGTAAATTGTCAATCAGTCAGCTACCACGTAGGACCAGGCACATATATGTATCGGTTCAAGTTGCCATATCGCATTAGCACAACAAGATGAATTCATAGAAATAGTTAATTCAGTGGTCTTAGTATATAAAAGAGAGATTGTGTATAAGGACATAGTACAGGAGGAAAGAATTAGTTCGTAGAAAGAAGCAATTTTAATTTCATAGTTTAAGAGAAGACAGAGTGTATACACCGACGCCATTGTGATCGATTCTGAGCCATGTCACCCACAGACTCGAACCATTAGTTACGTTAGTCAACAGATAAATTGCTTAAGACTTATGTTATGTGTGCTCAATCGTAATCAACATCACACTGATACATGGATTTATGTAGTGTTAATTTAGAAAAATGATTCAACTGGTCAGATTAGGATCTGATATTAATCTGTCGTTGCTGACGGAGTCATGTTTACAGAGGCTAAAACTTGGACAAATCATATTATTTGTAATGCACTGGATAACAGGAACCAGGTAAACAGAGCAGCTTCCCTGATATGTGGTGGAAGTATCTGAACTACTGTAGCTTCAATAATGCAGAGAAATCTGGTCTGGTCACCATTACGTCTCTACGGTATTGACGAAGATATTGAAATAATTATTGAGATTTATTTAAAAAACCACTTAAGACTGTACAGAAGTTCGTGGAGAAGAGTAAATTTGATCTATATAAATGGGCTTCTTTAAGCGAGGAAAAGCAAAGCCAATCCATCACATAAAAGTAGTATTTACTTTGGAATATTGTTTTTGTTCCTTAAATTCTTCCTTTTTTCATTACTGTTAAAGGTTAGAAACGACTAAAACTTCTTCTAGATCATTTTGAATAGTCTATGAAAGTTAGCCATAAACTATTCAACTTAAACACTACCTGGATGATATGATCGTCACTGCGAAATTTCAATGCCTTAATTTGGATACCTATTATGGTTGTGGGCTTATTTGGCTAAAACTTTCCAAACTATGATGGGGACTTCTGAATGCTATCTGATCTTAATCGATTTGCTAGATTTTATTTGTTCAACTTAACTATTTTGGCAATTGAAGAACATTTCCACAGGTACTTGACATAATAACAAAATCTCAGTAGCTTATAAAATAAAACTAACTTCAGAATAAGTCAGAAATATCTAGACTTAAGACAACATATTAGGTTTATTGAAGTTTACTTAAATGAACCACGAGTAGTTTCTGAAGCCTGACCACAAGTATGATTGGCCTGGCTATTCACTAAAATCCAAAAATTCGAAACAGGTTAATAGATTCGATGTTATAATGTTAAAATCAATTATGAATGTTTCTCTGTTATCTGGCAATTATATATAATATAGCCTTTTCACCCATTTACAGTAGATGCATACCTCATGTTAGAGGCTGAATTTAAAATGATTTATGTAAAAGATTTTCTGAAGCAATTACATACATAGTAGCCAGTTAACAAGTCAACAAAATGCTAGTTACGCTCATTGAAAACTGATAATAACAGTACCGATTGGAATATGACTAGAATCACTTCTGTATTACATAGTGGTAAATTACTGTTCAAAACCTCTCAATGGTTACCATTCATTTGTTTAAAAGAGTACCAAAAACAATCGTTTTATCATGGACTTAGCGGAAATAAGTTCAGTAGACTCAAGAGTTAGAATAGTTTATTTACTAGAAATATATTAATTTCAGACTATGGTTCATAAAGGATTCTCTTTTGAGTTTACAAAACATATTTTAAAAATCTATTGGTATTCATTTTTGGATTTGAGCTACTTGGCAGTGTTAAGGCAGATAGGGTAGAGACTGGTATCTACCTCACTGTAATGGAAGATGGTGGTGAAATTTCGTGCATTGGTTGAGGTTATACATTAACACCACTGAATTCTGGACAGCTCAGTGGTCTAAAGATTAGGCGTTCGCGCGTGAGACTGAAGGTTCTGGGTTCGAATCTCGTAAGGGAGATCATGGACACGCACTACTGAGGAGTCCCATTCTAGGATGAAATGGCCGTCCAGTGCTTTCAGGTTTTGAATGGCGGTCTAGTTTCAATTGACTCATGATCTCAACTATTAAAATTACTATAACATTCACAAAAACCCCTTCTGATATTACAATTACTGTCTGTTTACATTTATGTTCTCTTCAGTTCAATCTTTTTCTGCCAGGCATTCTACTTCTGAATGATGTTACATGTTACTAATGTTGACAGACATAAGTAACATACATCACAAAAGTAATATTGCAAGTTAACATAATGTCAACCTCTGCCAATCTAGTTACCATCTTTGAATCATTGTTTACTGATATTTGAGGGAAAATTTACTGAAGTGAAAATAAATGATTACCTTAGTGGAAAAGATTACTTTTAAGATTCATAACTAAGTTTACAGGGTGATTTTAAAACCACCAAATTATTTTGGTTAACACAAGGATATTTATGCAGTTTTGAGAAATTTCATGTGGATGTCTTTCCACGATCCAGCTAAGATTGAGCTATTAAGTTATTTACCTTGATGAATAAGTAGTTGGAGAGTATATCTAAATCGGTCTTATTCCGTATTGATACTGATGTGTAATAATTATGAATTAACTTTGTTTCCCCACCACATTTTCTATGAGGATGTATAGTCAACTTGGTATGAAAACTGAACACCCGACAAAATCTATAATGAATTCTTTTTTTACTGGTATTCAAAATAATTGATTGTAATGACGAAATCTAAGACTCTGATTACACCATAGTTCATTTCACGGATAGTAATAATCGACTGGACATTGCTGAGGTGATATCTAAATGTGGTCGCTTTAGAAACCAAATGCCCTGGTACGACCAAATGTGGGGAGAGTCAGCTCTCACATGGCCAAGTGCATACAACCACTACCACACAAGTCCTACTCACGTCCTTCTCAAGGTATTACTATTGTTTACGAAGGTGAGAAGACGAAAAGCGAATGTCCAGTGCTTCGATCGGGTTGGTGGACATTAACAGTCCATATAGAGGAGTTGGAAAACTCTCATTCCTAACCAGTCGTGTACATGGGTTGGCTCCAGTATCCTGAGAATACAAATGGCATATGAAACTATTGTTATTTACCGGTTACCTTGAAGATCAGACTTTTAGGTCGGAGTGTTGCCCTCTAACAAAACCAACTTCTTTGGTTTAGGAATCCGGGCAGTATCTCTACCCTCACACAAATCGAATGATTTATGTGGCTCATATCTATTTGCTGCCTTTTTGTATCAATGTTTATGTGTTTAAATAAATAAATAAATCAGGAATAACTGTCTTGGGTTGAAATCTATTCTTACATAGGTAATACAACACTAATTTGTGATTGGTTAAACCATTAAGACATGTCTTTGATTTTAACAAATATTATTCATTTAGTGTGCAACATTGTACTAGTTGTGCAGAAATTTGTGCTTGGAATTCGATTAACTAAACTACATTTTCCTTACACTCCTTATTGGTTCATATTATTATCCTTATTCATTTTATTTGGAAATAAAATCGATACCTTTATAGATACAAATCTATTTTGCATTAAGATAACTAATACTAACCCATTTTGCCCAGAACACTGAAACAGGGCGCACCATATTTTTATTCTACAGTAATAATAATAATAACTACCATGGCAACAAAATATAACATGTCAATTCAATTATTTTTACTTTTTGTCAATATAATCGTAATTCATATCTCTCAATGTAGTGAAAATGATAATTATAATTATGAATCTTTCAAACATTTAAAATATCCAACTATAATGAAAGATATAGAAGATGATTGTGAAAAATGTGATCGTAAAAAATGTCCACCTATTATACAATGTAATGTTGGTACAGTACGTGATAAATGTGGATGTTGTGATATATGTGCATTAGAAGAAGCTCAATTATGTAATATACCTGAAGATTTTAAAAATGGTATTTTAAAACAAGGAATAACATGGCATGGAATATGTGGTACAGATTTAGAATGTCGTACACGTACAGATATTGACTCAAAAATAATTGGATCGCAAAGTATATGTTATTGTGTTAAACCAGGTAAAGTATGCGGTTCTGATGGTGTAACATATTCAAAGTGTAAAATGAATGCAACAATTATCTCATCAAATGGTATAATTATTCCAATTAGTGAAGGACCCTGTCAAACTGGTAAGTTACTTTTTCTAAAGGTTTATAGATGATTATTCAAATGAATTTTAAAACAAGTAAAATTTTCTATGATTATGCCAAAATACAAAGACACCTAAAGGATGCTTCTTCTTTGATTGAAACTAACTTAAAAGTATACAGTCTCACTCTTTCTACTGTTTATTCTATGAGGTTCAATTATCCTAAAGATTTTGCTTATATTATTACTATCTGTTCTGTTTTACTACAACATGAATTGGAGTCCCAGTAAACAGCTTTTTCTTAGTCTACAACTTTGTCCTGTAACATATGACTCATGACTCTAAAAAGGCATGGAATCTAAAAGCTTCAGCTTTTGAGACTAATATAGTATTATATAAACTTAAATACCATCCACTGGTATTTGCTCCATGTATGATAAGATTAACTAGACAACATTTTATTAAAACCCTAAGTTATCAATCTTTCACAAAATTAGCTGATAGATTAATTATAATGATGCCTAGTTGCTATCCAGAAACATGAATATAAAATCTCGACATAACGTTATATTAATTGAAGTTACCTGTGTTCTTATTATTTATTTATTTAAGCACATAAACAATGGTACAAGGAGGCACCAAACAGATATGGGCCACACAAATCATTCGATTTGGGTGAGGGCTCTGATGCTGCCCAAGTGCCCACACCGAAGCAGGTGGTCCCCATATGGGGCCACAATCGAGCCTTTGATTTAAAGGTTTAATCCACAAGGTAGTGGAGCAACGTCAGGAGATGCATTCCCATGATAGTCGGTGAACCAATAATTGGTTCATACGTCATTTGTTTCTTCACGATCCTGGAACTCATGTGCACCATCTGTTTGGAATGAGAATTTTCCAACACCCTTAGGTGGAGCCTCCATATTCACCAACCCGGTTGGAGTGCCGGACATTCGCTTTTCATCCTCTCAATCTCGTAAATAATATCCCCACCAATAGAAAGCAGTGAGTAGGACTTCCCTGCTGGTAGTTGCACGTAGCCATTTGAGAGCGTTTAGAGAGGGAGAGTTGTCTCTCCCCACTCTCGGCCGCACCGTCAATGAAACTGCCTTTCAACAAAAATTGTTTACTTATGTTTAAATAACCACGACTTTAGTCATCGTCTGAAAATACCCAGTTTGGTTAAATGGGTCTAGTTATTTTGTTTTGTTATTTATTTCACATAAAACGAACGGGATTATTGTGACACTTTCCATTGTTGTTGATAACAGATTTAAAAGTATTCAAGATATATTGAATGTTTCGAACATACAATGATTACTTCCAATAAAGATGTTTAAATGTTTGTCAATAATCGAATGCAATGTGAGTCACTTGTTTACGTTCTATCATACAATTGTAAACAAATGTTGGAAGTCACAAAACAAAGTATTTTTGGTCGTCGACTGTCACATCTTCATCCACTGTTATACATGTATCAAGTTAATAGTAATGGAATTAGATATCAATACTTTGGTTATAAATTTAAATATGGCAAGCTATGTGTCTGTGATGTCCACGAAATTTAGTGTCTGGAGTGGAGTATGAGTAGAAATGAGGATGTAAAAATGTATGGGAATAAATAAAGAATGCATAGTATGTGTTCGTTAATTAGCGCAGTCAAAGCCATTTGGAAAACGTTTGATGGAGTTTTGTTCTCTGAGCTGTATTGTTTGGTCGTGAAGCTTTCATCGTTGTTCTGAATGACATCATCAGCACAAACTTCATCCACCTGAGCTACAAATGTTCTCCACCATCTCAAGCATATTAAAGGAGCTCATTGTCTTTGTTTTTACATTCATATCCATTGAGTACTTAATCCAAATGAGTCAATCAAGGAATACTTACAAAATTGATTTCGGATAGGGTTTAATACTTTTGTCAACCATTTTACAAGGTTGTGTGTAGATGACCGACACATTGATAGAATTGAACGTTAGAAGGTATTGGGCGTATAAATTTTTGGTAGTCCATATAAATTAGGATAAAACGAACCTATAGGTTTTAATAAATTAACTTTCTCTTTGCTAATAACATTCATCTTAAGCAATTCACTAGGTTTGCATTGACTTTGAATTCCAATGGTCAAATAAAATCACATGGTAAATAAATATTTCCTCCATTGCGATCGGTCACATTCGATTTCATCCATCAATTTACATGTATGTGTGGAAACAGGTACAAAAGGCGAAGCAATCATGAGCTGTAAGTAAAAGTGGCTGAACACATACCTAAATAGCTGCAAAAACAAATGAATTCTTATGGTCAAATAAGATCACAGGATAAACAAATATATTCCTCCATTACGAAACATTTGGTTGAAACTGGTCATAAGGCTGATATCAAGTTAGACTTTGTAGTTTTGTACAAAAGCTTTCAAGGGCATATGTCAAGGCTTTTTGAATCCCTTGGCATACGGAAACGGAAACCCTCTTTGTGTGTTCAAATACAATTTGTTCTTACCCTTAACGTAACCTGAAATATTGATTTATTATCCAGCATAGTTTTCACATTGTTTTTGTGTACTTTATAATAATCTTTCTTTCCGCTATCCTTTTAATTTGTCTAGTTGACCTTTTATTTTTCATAGAAAATGTCTTAAAGAGTATATGTGTGATCAGATTGTTGAAAATGTATTACTTAAAACATGGAAGCACTGGACGACCGATTTGTCCTAGTATGAAACTCCTTAGTAGTGTGCATCCACCATCCCACATGGAGAACTCGGGCCCAGAACCGTCGATCTTGCACGCCAAAGCTTAAGCTTTAGATGAAGGGTTATGCAAATCATGAATCGATTGAAATTATACAGTAACATCGGTGGATGCCGGCTTAGTGGTTGACTCATGAAATACTACAATTTTCACAAATCCCCATACTGAATATGAACAGTTGTTGCCTAATTTGGCGAATTCACAAACATTTGAATTATTTTCCGTTATGCATTTCTATAACATTGTTCTGGAGACATACACCGGACTTATGAATATAGTCTTTTTCGGCTGCTGTATAAGTCAAACTGATTTCTCTGTAGTAAACACCAAGGGAGTCCTATCCTTCCTTTCAAATTGGAGCAATAGATTATCGAGACCAGTCACGTAAGATCACGTCCAACTTCTAAATCCTAGTTAATATTTCAGTCAGTATGACTTCTTAGATCTGACCAACATCTTTGAAGATCTTCGGTCCTAATTTATCAGGCCTGGTTCCTCGATCTTGATTTAACTATTGCCTTTCCAACTAAATAATAAGAATTCAATACAATAAGTTTGTTCTTACTTTTGAAGCTTGGATTTATATTTATTAAATAGCATTAAAGAGAACTCCAAATATTTACGAGGAGATTGCAGTAAGGCATAATACCTCAGTGATTAACGTAATATTAACTAGAGACTAATTAGAAAACAAATCCTCACATTTTGTCTGCTTCACTTATTCTACTTTAACTTTCCTTTAAAAATTTATACATAGTTCTCATTATGAACTAACAGTATAAATAAATGCTATTAACATTTCAGTTACCATAGCGGCTTTTTTCACCTAGGACGCGAATAACCCTGTGAGAGATAGGATATAGAATATAATCTGGGGTCTACAACCAAGTACAGTAAACGTATACTTGGCAAATGAATTAGATTAGTTGAAAAATTAAAAACACTAAACAATGTTGAGAATGAGTATAGATGATGACTGTGTTATGGAGTTTACGGATTGACCAACTGTTTGATCCTAAATAGATGTCACTTGTAATGACAACAAATATATGTTAAATAAATGATATAAACTACAGGCTTGATAGAATTCAGTTATTCACTGCTGAAGTGAACTTGGTCTTGGGTAATTCTAGTCTTAAGAGTACTCCCACGACAATTCTCCTTCTCCACCGTTCATCATTTCTGTTCACTTCGTTGCTTTGATTATCTGCCTGAATCAATGATTGTATAAAATATACGTATTCTAAATTCTTTCCCGTATTTAACTTGTTTTAATTCTTTTATTTTCTAACGCGGATTAAGTCGATGTTTATATACGAGAATTGACGATATATATATTTCGAGAGCAATCATTTATACGATTTTATTGGAGTCAAATCACAGGTCACTAATGTGGTAAGCCCATCGACAACATCGTCCTATCTAACTGACGTCCAAATGAAGGGTCCCACTAAAGTGGTGAATCCGATGTGATTCGAACACTCAGACTTTTGATCTGGAGTTAGATATAGAGCCACTAAATACTTCTTCTTCATTTAATCTAGAACAAGCAAACGAAAGTTTAACAAGTTCATTGTATCTCTGAAAAAAGGCTAATTTTAAACATTTTGTTCTATTTATTACTTTCTGATTACATTGTAGAAAATGGGTAGACCTTAAAAATATTATTAAGTTTTATAAGTAAAGATGGTTAGTGGTTGGCAGTGGAATCCAGTTTGAAGCGCGTTCTGTCCTATTTGGGACTCGTCAGCTGGATGTACCTACATCTCAGAGTTAATGTTCACTCTGGAATTCGAACCCAGTATCGTTCGCTTCAAACGCTATCACGTTATCCACTCACCTACTGAGATCTAATAGCCACTTGCTTGTGCAGGTTTGTTATCTTGGTTAATTTTTTTGACCTTTTCTCAAAGTATGTATTATTTGTTTACTTGGTAATAAATTCTTATTTTTTTTCTTACCCCAAGCACCTTCGGTCAAATTAACTGTATTAAATCAAACTGTTATTGAAGGTACAAATGTTACATTGATTTGTGAAGCACGTGGTTATCCGCTTCCAACCATTATTTGGTATTTTAATAAGCCAAATCAAAAGCAGGATAAAATTCAAATGCCAGGTTTGTAACCGTAGCTTTTATGGTTTTTTATTATTTTTCTTGTTGTTTAGCTAAATTTCTGATACATTTGAAAATGTTTTAATATTGATTATGTCAAGTGTGGTGTATGCTACTTATATCGGCATAAGTAGTAGCGATTCAAGAATAGAATGTCTGACAGCAGAAGTTTGAAAAGATCGACAAGGGAAAAACGGAAACACAGTAATTGGTATGAAAATACAGGAACAATGAAGTCTGAGACAATTCATGAACATTTTGCAAATGAAGTATTAGAGTATGGCTTTCCTAATCTCCACAACCCTTTACTGACTTTTATATTTTACCGAGCAACTGTTATTTTGTGCTAAATATACTCTAAGTGGTGTGCTGTTCTGCGGACGCTGTTGCGGATCTGGAGCTGAGGCGCTAGTTGAGGAGTTTTGGTACAGAGAAGTGACCTCTGTTGGAGTGTTCTGGCGGATGACCTTGGCTCTAGCGCATACTGTCTACAGAGGAGCGTTGGGACATACGGTTGCTAGGCGGACGTCGAATATAGATGGCTCAGTAGGTCGCTAAAGAGCGAGCGTTGGATGTCCTAGGTGCAGGGTGGATACCGGGTGCTGTTGGCCCTGCAGGTCGATGGAGCTGTAGAGGTCAGCGCGCCGCATACTCGACATTTTGACGGACAGCATGGCACAGACTGCAGAAAAGTAGGGAGTGGGACGGCCAGCAGAACCACTGCTTTAAAGGGGGTACGAGTATGGTGAATTGAATTAAAGAATGTTCTGCGCACGATTGTGTTGATGAACGATAATTGGCTATTTCTTATCCAATCAGCGTTAGTTGATACTTGGAGAACACTCTAGAATCCCATGTAAACGCTATAAATATACCAACGTTTCTTTTATTGTGCTTCTTACTCCTATCTACCCTTGTTTTTTAGAATATAGTTTCTTTCCTGTTCAATCGTGTTCTGATTTGGGGGCTTTTTGTGTGAATTGGTGTCCAAGACTACTAAACGATAGGAATAGCTGGGTCGTGATAAAAGAGAGAATTATAACTACCATTTTCATACAAACGTAAACACTATTAGCTGAAGATACTTTTCGTTATCTAGTTAAATCTAACAAGTTAATGCAGTATGTTACGGGTAATCAATGTTATAAGAATAAACAGTTCGATGATTGAATCTATAATAATTAAGATGTCATTCTCCTGATCATGTCATTATGAGTACAAATAATACAGAAGCTAGTCAAAAAACTTCATTAGTTATGCACAAATTGCAGGAAATTGAGATACCATCAAGAATTATTTTAGTTTTGTTCTTACCGAATGCAACTAAGATCATCTTGAGCAGTCTGACGTAATCTTTTATTACTTATGAAAGGAGTTATTAATCTGTTATTTTATAAAGAATGAATATTAATAAAGAGAACAAATGCTTTGCTCATCAAGATGGTCGTACGAATAGCAACTCAATAGCCTGTTGGTTTCTTGAGTACCGGAACTACAGAATGTGAAATACCAAAAGAAAAAACATAAATAATTAAATTCAATTGGTGTGGTTTACTTTTATCTTCTCATTGTTATTTAGGGCTGTAATTGGCATATATACATCCTGTGCGGATTGCCTCAATATTATCTTAAGTCACAAGCTTTATAAAAGACTCAGTAGCCGAGTGGATAACGTGATGGCGTTTGATGCGAATGGTACTAGGTTCTAGTTCCAGGGTGAATATCAAATCTGACATCCAGTTACATCCAGCTGACGAGTCCCAAACAGAACGAAACGCGCATCGAACTGAATCCCATCGCTAGCCACTATCCATCTTTGCTTAAAAATTGTAGTGTAGTGAACAAGAACATGGGTGGGGACAAGCAGAAGTATTCAGCACAACAATTACAGTCTATCTCAACAAAATCTGAATACCATATAGTCAATCGTCAATTTGCAAAATATTCATACATCAAACCAAACTGGACTGTTTCTGTTGCAAACACCAATCCATTGTCTCCCATTCGATTGTTCATGCATTTTCTTACAAATTCCATTGTGTTCTCGCTCTATCTGTCTTGATCTTCGCCATCTTCCGCTGCCAGACATTACGTTCTTTTAACGCACGGTATATACTACTTATATCAATATAAGTAGCTCAGATCACAATAGTACTAACTTTATTGGTTCTTTTCCCATAAGTATCTAGTTTAATACTACCTATCTTAAATAATTTTATAGTTAAAAAAAATAGTAGTCTTTGTATTTATTGTTGTATCATTATTTCATTTTTTTTTCTTTTAATATTTAAAGGTAATTACAAAGATGTTACTGTTAGTGTTCGTGGTGGAACTGAAGAAACACATACTATATCTTATTTACAAATAACAAATTTCATTTTAGAATATGAAGGTGAATATGTATGTATGGCTGATAATATTGTTGGAATTAAAGCACAAGGTACATCATTAGTTAGAAATAGTATTTCATCAATATTTTCATCTTCATCATTAATTTCATCTAATGAATTATATTTACATAATGATGATAATGATGATAATAATCAAGCAAGACATTAATCTAAATTGAAATTGAGGATAAATATTTTTTACAAGAAAAAAAAAAAGAAGGATACCTAAACTATTATTTACACAAATTAAGGGATATAACAATATTGATTTAATCTTATTTATAAACTATATTCTAGTTACCCATCAACGGTTTATCTGTTCCTTTATGCATGTTTAATCATTAATTGTTTGTTATTCATTAAAACAAAACGATTAGTTCACTTTTTTTTCTCTTTTTAAATTGATATTGACAAACCGAACTCTAGTCAAATATAACTTTAATTATTGATTGAATAATTGATCTTATCTCTGTACGAATCATAGTATGATGTGAGCTACTTATATTCATATAAGTAGTAGTATATAATGATAGTCAGGGATAGAATGTATTTCAATGGAAAATCGAGAAGAAAAAAAACGGAAACGAAAATCAATTTGTATGAAAATGTAGGAATAATGAAATCTGAGAGGATGAATTGATATTTGCAAAAGAAACAGTTAAGTTTTAGACAAATGATGGATATTTTTGTAAATTGAGTATTTACTGTATGATTCTCAGATTTTACTATGTTTGTTTGTCGAGCTACCTGTTAACTGAATCATCGATCATACCCCTGTAACGATCATAGTTCATTAAACATAAAAGGAAACGATATTGAGATGGTGTGACATATAACCAAAACAAAGAAGTAAACAATGACAGATTTAAGGTCAACAAGAACCAATTAACATCGAGGTCTAAAAGACAACCTGTGTACCACATGTAGAGAAAAATGAACACATCACTTTTATCTGAATTTTATGCTGATGATGTCGTTCAGAAGAACGATAAAATGATCCGCGATCAAACTAGAGAACAAAACTCCATCGGAAACGACATTAAATAGCACCTTTACCAAAAAAAAAAAGTGAGAAATACCACTCAACTTCGATTGCACTAATTTTTTATTGATCCTGCGCATAGCTTGACAAAAGTTTCACATGAAATTCATGAGCTATAGTGAGTAACAATAGCAAAATAAATAAAGAACCATAGGTGCTATAGACTTAAAGTCATCATAATCAAGAAGTTCTATTTTGAAATCAAGGATAATGAGACTGAAAGAAAACCCATCTAAAACTGAGATAATAGTTTACTTCAGCTATGAAAACAATGAAAAAATTAACACTTAGTTAGATACATGTAATAATGTTAAGATAGTATCCAAAATATATTCTCTTGACTTTTGTTTGTCAGTATTACTTTTAAAGTGCCCCTAAGTGCCCTTATACGGTCGAAAGTGGGGAGAATAACGTCTCACTCTTCAAATGCTGTCAAGTAGCCATGTGCATAAAACCACTATCACAGAAATCTTACTCACTGCCATGTCGTGGCGGGGGTGTTGTCTACGAAATGAAGAGGATGGAAAGCGAATGTCCGGCGATTTAACCGGTTTGGTGGACACAGAGAGTCCACTTAGGGGAGTTGGAAAATCCTCATTTCAAACCAATAGTGTTCATAGGCTGCGGGATCATAAAGAAACAAATGGCATATGAACTGGGTGTTGGTCATCGGTTACCATGTGACTGCATCTCCTTACATTGCTCCACTGACTTTAGGTCGAAGGCTTCGGGTGTGGCTCCCTAAGACACTTGGACATTTCAGCAGTATCCCAGACCCCACATAAATCGGATGATTTGTATGGCTTATATCTATTTTTGTGCCTCCTTGTACTAATGTTTATTTCAGACGGGGTTTGTGGAGACTTTAGAAATTTCACAGATTGAAATCATGAGTCAGTTGAAGCTAGACCACCATGGAAAACCTGAACCCACTGGACGGCCGTTTCGCCCTAGTATGGGACTCCTCAGCAGTGCGCATCCACGAGCCCACATCCGCGGGGCTGGAACCCAGGACCTACTGGTTTCGCGTGTGAGCACTTAACCATTAGACCACTGAGCCGGCATCCAACGGTGTTAATGTCTAACTTCAACCAATCCACGAAGTTGCGCCACCGTACATCATTGTCTTCAGTGAGCTGATATCTCACAACAGACCTGGTTGAACTTCACTGGTAACGGCTTCCCACTAGAACTCCACTGCTGAGGTTTCCCATACTTATTTATTTATTTCAACACATAGATATTAGTACAAAGAGGCACCAAATACATATGCGCCACACAAATCTCATTCGATATGTTTGAGGGCTGTGATACTGCCCGGGTGCCCAAACCGAAGCACGTGGTTTTCTTAGAGGGCCACACCTCGAGCCTTCCACCTGAGGGTCTGATCCACAAGGCAGTGGAGCATTGTAAGGAAATGCAGTCCCATGGAAGCCAGTGACCAACAATTGGTTCATACGCCATTTGTTCCCACAGGATACTGGAGCCCATTTGCACTATCGGTTTGGGATCCGGTTAAAGCGCCGGACATTCGCTTTTCGTCCTCTCATTTTGGTAAACAACACCCCTGCCACGAGAAGGCAGTGAGTAGGACTTCCCTGGCAGAGGCTATATACGCGTGGCCATGTGAGAGCATTTCGAGAGGGAAAACGGACTCTCCCTACTCTCGGCCGTACCAGAGCATTTGGGGATGAAACGACCGTCCAATGCTTCCAGGTTTTTCATGGTGGTCTATCTTCAACTGACTCATGATTTTAATCTGTAATGTTTATGTGTTTAATTTTTAAAAAAAAAACGAAGAAATAAGTAGCATAAAATATATTAAGTAGTATATTCACTATTATAATATAATCATCATTAACTATTGAATTATTCAAGAATAACTTTTTCTTATTCATTTAATACTTCCATTTTTATTAGTAATATATCATTTAATCTTTTTAATTCATTTTGTTTCATATCAAATTGATATTGTAAACAATCAATAGTATTACATAAATGTTTCCATTGTTGTTCTATAATTGTTGTTTCTTTATCAAATTCCATTGTTGTCATTTCAATTTTATTAAGTAATTGTGATAATTCATTTTGTTTTAATAAAGTTAAATATGCTAATTTTATATTCATTAAATTATGATTTGATAATTGAACAATCAATTCTGTATCATCATTATTATTTTGAACTGATTGACCATCCATTATATTAGCTAATAAATGTTCTCTTATAGTTCCATCAGTTGATTGTAAATATCGTATAATACTTTGATTGTATACGCCTAACAATTTTCTAGATCCTGAACTATAATTCAAATAATTAGTAATAATATAAAAAAGAACAAGGAAAAGAAAAGAAAACACACAAATAGTTGCTGTGATATTCATGTGGTGTTGTTTTACTTGTATTTTCCTATTGTTATTTAGGACTGCGATTGATCAGTTTCTTGTTGGCATATGATCATCCTGTGCAGATTGCCTCGATATTGTCTTAAGTCACAAGTATTATAAGCAAAGATAGATAGTGGCTAGAATTGATCAACTGCAGTCCTAAAAAACATCAATGGGAAGATTCAAGTAAACAAGAACAAGTGAATTTAAAACTACACCCGATTACAAAAGCAAGTGGTTATCAAGACTCAGTAGCTAAGCGGATAACGTGAAGGGGTTTTAAGCGAACGGTTCTGGGTTCGAGTCCCGGTGTGGACATCAACTCTGAGATGTAGGCACGTCCTTGCGTCTTGCATTCCACTGGTTGGTGTGATTTCCAACATCCAATACAACTCTAATAATTGATATTAACAGTGGAAATCATGAGTTAATTGAAGCTAGATCATCTTGAAAAACCTAGAAGCACTGATTAACTGTTTTGTCTCATTGTTGAACTCATCAGCAGTGCGTATCCACGATCCCGCCGCATGAGATTCGAACTCAGGATCTATCAGTCTCACGCGCGAGCGCTTGACCTCTAGACCAACGATGTTAATATCTAACTTCAACTAATACACGTAATTGAGCGACACATCATGAATGCACACTGCTAAGAAGTTTCACAATAGGACGAAACGGTCATCCAGTGCTTCCAAGTTTTTCATGGTTGTCTAGCTTCGATTGATTCATGATCTTAACTATTTAACTTACTATAATATACATAAAACTCTTTCTGATATTTCAGAACTTGTTTAATAAGAAAAATGAGTCAAAAACATGAATCAATTACTTACTGAACATTTAAATAATCCTTCTAAAATGAATATTATAGATAGTGAATTACATTACTTTGTTGTTATAACAGAACATACCACATTTTTAAATGTTTGTGTATCATTAAAATTTTCTATTTTATTCAAGTATTCAATCCATTTCTCTGCATATAACTAAATGAGAATAGGAAAAGTGTTTTTATATTAAAAAGAAAATTAATTGTTTATATCTGTTAACCTGACCGAATTTCTTTGAACAATCCTTAATTAGTCAACATATGCTCATTAGAGCCTATCTTCAAGATGTATTTCCTGGAGTTCTAGTGAGGAGCAGTGACCAGTGGAGTTCAACCGAGTCTGTTGTTAGATAGTAACTCATTGGAGATAATGGTGGATGTGTCGATCAATTTCGTGGATTAGTTGATGTTATACATTAACACTGTTGGATATTGTCCAGCTTAGGGGCTTAGTGATTAAGCACTCGCACGTGAGACTGATAGGTCCTGAGTTCGAATCTCATGAGGCGGGATCGTGAACGCGCACTGCTGAGGAATCCCATACCAGGATGAAACAGCCATCCAATGCTTCCACGTTTCCCATAGTGATCTAGCTTTAATTGACTTATGAACTCAATGATTAAATTACTACAATCTCCACAAAACCCCTCTATAATAATGGAAAATGAATTATTGAGAAGAAGTTATTATTAGTGACTTTTGAAGTGAAAAATGTCATTACTGGATAGTTCTGCTTTATTTTGCATTGCAGAGTGTAATGTAAACAATTTCACTGATTGAAAATACAATACCATCAATCATTTATAATATAGTATTGCTAAGTGCATCCAACAACAATTTTCGCGGGTGGATTATTGGGTGAAAATATAAACTTCCTATCTACCATTAAACAGAACTAAGGGTAAACAATTCTTTAAGTTTTTTACAGTTTAACTATAGAGTATTGATATGTCAGAATAAAATGTCGAACTAAAAATTTCTCTATTGATTGAGATCTTGAACCGACTGATGTTAGACTACCATTCAAAACCTGGAAGCATTTGACGGTCGTTTCGTCCTATCTTGGGACTCCTCAACAGTAGTGATCTAACATCGATCAGTTTATAATCTCAATCAATAACTTAGTAATCTTCACAACCATATACTGATAAAAATTTTGCATCATATCTTACTGAATCACTCGATAAACTATAAAGAGTTAGGGAATGAAAGTTAAAATAAACAACATGACATTGAAATTGAACTGACTTACTTTGAAAGAATTCAGTCGGGATAAAATTGTTTTGTGATCATAAGAAATACAGATATTTTTTTGATCTAAATGTTTAATCACTCGTGAACCTAATCTGAAAATTATAGAAATAGTTGATAAATTATGAAATATTAATGAAACACTATCCATGACAAATAATTATGGAATCTATATTAGTATTGATTCCAATCATGGACTAACTTTAGATATAGTTATATATAATATAACCTTGTGTGCCAGGGTAATTTTTACATTGGTTTTCAGGAGAACCAGACACCATCCAGACTTTCACGTGACAACCAAATCAGTACAGCCCAGTCCCGTTTAACAGGAGAGTCAGACACCGCTCAAGCTTAACCCGAGCAGTACAGCTCAGTCCAGTTTCGCAGGAGAAGCAGACACGATATGAACTTTAATGCCACAATCTGAATAGTATAGCTCAAACCTGTGGCGCAAGCACCCTGGTGGACCATTCGCATCATTCATATACACATTCACATCACATGTATAGTTATTCCGATCAATGATCACGTGAATCAATTATGCACAGCACGAACAGGCCAAAGTTGACCTATTCCGCTTACACGACAGTCAAACTCAATAATGTTAGCAATTGCGAAATGCCTCACAATGTCCCAATGACAATGGCCCTCGAGAACACTGAAAAGCAATCACCAGTATGAATGAAATCGGTTAACCAGCAAACAAATTTTGCACATGGACAATCAGTAGAACTCGCAAAAGTAATGCCGAACCATCCACAATATCAATAGCAAGCTTCCAGTTTTATATGAGACCTTCAGCTCTACATAACCATATGGCTTATATTGCATACAAACATATGTACTGTAGTAAACGAAATAGTTCAGCCTGAAGCGTTAGGACTTAAAGAATGCTTAAAACCGATTGTCTCGCGTCGGAATACAATTACAAAGACCACCAAGATCATTCTTATCGCATTTACGAAAATTTCATTTTTCCGACTTTTCAGACCATGAGTTAGGGGTAGTATCTCTAACTTAAGATATAGGACCAATTTGAATCAGAGAGGACTAAACATTTGTTTTCTTTTTTTTTTAATAGGTCTTTGAAGTTATTTTCATCTTTTACAGAGTTTCACTGGTTGAAATCATGAGTCAATTGAAGCTACATCACCATGGAAAACCTGAAGTCACTGGACGGCCATTTGTTCCTATTGTAGGACTCCTCAGCAGTGCGCATCCACGATCCCGCACCACGCGGGGCTCGAACCCAGGACCTACTGGTTTCGCGCGTGAGCACTTAACCATTAGACCATTGAACTGGCCAGCATTCGATGGTGTTAATGTCTAACTTCAACCAATTCACGAAGTTGCGCCACCGTACACCATTGTTTTCAGTGAGCTGATATCTCACAACAGGCCTGGTTAAACTCCAATGGTAACGACTTCTCACTAGAACTCTAGAACTTCAGAAGACACTCCTGGAGTGTGGATTGGTTGAAGTTAGACATTAACACCGTTGGATGCCGGCTCAGTAGTCTAATGGTTAAGTGCTCGCGCGCGGAACTAGTAGGTCCTGGGCTCGAATCCCGCAGGGTGCGGTATCGTGGATGCGCACTGCTGAGAAGTCCCATACCAGGGTGAAACGGCCGTCCAGTGCTTCCAGGTTTTCCATGGTGGTTTAGCTTCAATCGACTCATGATTCCAACCAGTGAAATTTCTAAAAATCTCCACAAAATCCATTCTGATAATTCTACAGAATTGTAAACATTTAGATTATTTGATCATTTTCAGTTATCCAATTAAAACTATACGATCTATGCTTTCAAAACTCATTCATTTGTATTACAGTTAAAATTAAGCCCTATGTTATCGATAAGCATATATATTTTAGTTTCTACTTGGAAGTCCCGAAAATCAAGTAGCAACTCGTTCTCCCCCTCCCCTCCTCATTAGGTAGAATCAATCAGGTTAGATAAAATGGTTATTTATTACACTTTTTTTCGTTGTTAAAGATCATGCCTGATTGTATTAGCATGTCTAGTTCAGTTTAAATCGTTATATTGAAAAGTTTAATGTCAACATTAAAGTTGTACTGAATTTAGTTTCATTTCCTTGATATGAACACTCTTAGAGCAATCCGTAGATTCTTGGAAATCCCCATAGAACAGAACTAACATAATTCATATACTGTACTGTCTATTAGTTAACTGTTATAACTTGTGCCCTGTATCCTATTAATGTATAACGTAATGATACCGCCAACTAGAGAACAGTGAATTATCGACCGTACCAATGATGCATAAAACCCATACGAGCAATCTAGAGTCTTTATCGATCCTTCTTCCTATCTAGCCCTGTCTATCTCTTGGATCCAGAATACCAATCTTAGCCTCTATGATATCAATCATTTATTTCAAACATATTGGGATTATATACCAACCAAACAGACTACATCGTACCATCAAATACAAAACAACATTTATAGAAGATCTAGCCAAAAGTGATTGTGAATTTGTGAGACTGTCATAGATAGACTGTAGTATAACTTAAGAATGATAAATTGTATCATAATAATTCATAGATTAAAATAAAAGCTTATGATAAGAGGAACATGAATATGCTCAGTTCAATTACGTAATAATTATACAATAAGAAATATATGTAACGTATTAGATTTCAATAGTTATTACCATTCATTATTCTTACTTAAATAATGATTTTGTCAATTCATAGAAACTATTCTTTTTCAATTTAACATTTTGATTATTTAATGGATCCTTCTGTAAATTGGAATTATTTCCAACAGGTAAATTTTGTTGATCATTTACATCTATCATAGTGTTATTGATTATTTGTTTATTTAATTGTTGTATTATATTAATTTGTTCTAATACTATTTGTTCATTTCTCATTTCACTAATACTATTCACTCTGTTCTTAATTAATTCAAACCATTTCATTAGATTTTGTTGATATTTAAATAAACTGCTCCTTTTATTATTATCATTATCATTAATTTGATTCCATCTGAAATAGTTTAGGAGATAAGATCAAACTCATGCTATATATAAATAATAATGATTATGGTGGATAATGTGATGGTGCTTAAAGTGAACGGTACTGGGTTCAAGTCTCGGAGTGAACATCAATTCTAAGATACAGGTACATCCAACTGACAATCAAAAAATAGGACGAAACGGTCATCCACTGCTAGCCACTATCCATATTTGCTTATAATGGTTATGAATTAAGGCAATATCGAGACAATACACATAGGATGCACATATGTCAATAACAAACTGATCAATTGCAGTCTTAAATAACAATGAGAAGACTCAAACAAACAATACCAAGTGAATAGAGCAAGAACAAACATTGATGCAGAATAGTATGAATTCATATTATTTCGAGGTTTCTCGTCAGCTGCTTACAAACCAAAATTGTGATAGAATTTGTGTTACATGGAGATAGTATGAAAACGATTGACATAAATGAGTGTAAATAACTGGATTACAATAATAACTATATATATATGCGAAACCTTTTTAACCGCGCACGAAAAATCTCCTCAAAAGAATGCCTCGAAGAAGAAATTACTACAATCACCAAATGCCTACGTGAAAATGCATATCCGAATAAATTCATCCACAAATATGCTAATACAAACCCTTCGATTAAGCATGATACAGTTGAAAAGAAAACCTACTTCTATATATATATATATATATATATATATATATATATATATATATATATATATATATAGTTATTATTGTAATCCAGTTATTTACACTCATTTATGTCAATTGTTTTCACACTATTTCCATGTAAAAAATTCTATCACAATTTTGGTTTGTAAGCAGCTGACGAGAAACCTCGAAATAATATGAATTCATACTATTCTGCATCAATGTTTGTTCTTGCTCTATTCAAATTCATAAAGGGAATCAATTGCATGAAATACCAAGTGAATTTAAAACTTCACCTTATTAAGCAAGCAAGTGGTTAGCAGGACTCAGTAGCTAAGTAGATAAAGTGATAGCATTTGAAGCGAACGTTACTGAATTCGAGTCTTAGAGTGAACATCAACTATGGAATGTAGGTACATCCAGCTGATGTGTCCCAAATAGGACGAAACGCGCGTCAAATTGGATCGCACTGATAACCATTATACATCTTTGCTTAAACATTATGGTAGTAGGTTTATTAGCTTTTTTTCGGAAATAAATTACTGGTCACGATATATTTACAAAAACATCTGATAGATATGTAAGCGATTCTGAATGATAAATTGTAGAGTAATTCCATGTAACCTTTTTATTCCTTGAATCAAAATTAAAACTACCAAACGTTGTTTCTACTAATTAAGAACGCCAATTATGTTTCCATTGGACCTAAGAAACTATTTTATGACTACATTACATAATAATAACTAGTGTTCATCCATGTTTCCTTTAACCTCAGTAGTTAAAGTAATGACCGGCAAATTGGTTATGCTCTTACTGTAGTGAACAAGAACACGGGTGGGGACAATCGAATGTATTTAGCACATAAATTACAGACTATCTCAATAAAATCTGAATACCATAAAGTCAATCGTCAATTTGCAAATTATCAATGTATCATATCAAACTGTACTGTTTCCGTTGCAAACACTAATCCATTGTCTCCCATTTCATTGTCCATGCGATTTCTTACAAATTCCATTGTGTTCTTGCTCTTCGTTTCTTGATCTTCTCCATTTTCTACTGCCAGGTCTTACATCCTTTTAACGCACGTCATATACTACTTATGTCAATATAAGTAGCTCACACCACATTACTAGTTACGAGAACCATTTTCAAACCGGTTATATATTACATTTGATTGCTAAGCGACTGACTATTATTGTTGTCTTATCACTTTGAATAACTAAGATAGTTTTCTGGTGTAAATAAACCTTGGATATGTTGTTATATTGAATGTAACCGTTGTTCTAGTGAATCTGATAGTTAACTTGTCAATTATTATCAGAAGGGGTTTTTGTGGATATTATAGTAACTTCAATAGTTGAGATCATGAGTCAATTGAAGCCTCACCACCATGGAAAACCTGAAGTCACTGGATGGCCATTTATTCCTATTGTAGGACCTCTCAGCAGTGTGTATTCACGATCCGGTCTCACGAAATCCGAATTCAGGATCTATCGGTCTCACGTGCGAGCACATGACCTCTGGACCACTGAGCTAGCCAGCATTCAACGGTGTTAATGTCTAACTTCAACCAATGCACGTAATTGAGCGACTGATCATCATTGTCTTCAGTGAATTACTATCTCACAACAGACCCGGTTGAACTCCACTAGTCACTTCTTCTCACTAGAACTCTAGGAAATACCTCTTGTAGACCGTTGCTAGTGAACATCTGTTGATTAAATAATTTATTACTTATATTAACCTATCGTAATGGATAGTAGTTTACAACGGTTTTTGTAAGAATTTTGATTAGTTCCAACTAGTGAATGTAGGATTTTAGAAATGCTTTATAATTCAAACGTTAACCATAAGCTAGGTTCTATGTAAAATAAATGAGTTGGTGTCCGACGAAATCTCAGCACGGATTCAGAAAGCTCTTTTGTCTTTTGCCAACTTATGTCACCTATGGTGAACGTGAGATATCCGTCTATCAATAAAAGGACGAGTATACTGCACGGCAGTTCATTCTGTTCTACTTTACGTCTACAAAGCATGGCCATTAGGAGTAGAAGATACTCGTAATCTACTAGCATTTGGTCACACATGTCTTGGAAATATTGCTCGGATCTACTGGCATCACAGGGTAAGTAATAACGAGGTTTGATACAGAATATTAAGGAATGATAGTAAGTCAGTTGATGAGGCTGTGAATTTTCATCAACTGAGATGGTTGGGTCATGTGTTACGTATACCTGAACACCGATTACCATGACGTACAATGCTGATTAGTGTTTTGGGGATGGTTAGAGGAAAGTTGGGGGCGGCCAAACTGAAACATAGCATCAGCCCTTGAATTTACTAACTTCTGGTCTGAGCTATGTTTGTAGATGTGGACTACTCGATTGGTGTACGCGTGACTATCGTAACCAATGATTGAAGATTTCGGTCACCCACAGTCTTCCATGAATTCGGTGTTCATCTTTTCGTGCTAATGCGATATAGCAGCTTGGACCGATGCATATATATATGCCTGTTCCTACATTGTATGCTGACCGAATGAGTGATGTAAAATGAATAACTCATTAAAAATTCTAAAACATCAACTAGAACACAATAAACCATTTATTAATTCTATAATAGTTCAGTCAAAAATACCATCTCATCAACTTACTTATCAAATGTAACTGTACATGTTTCATCGATTGAATATGGTCTACTCATTTGTTTTAATGGTAATTCATTGTCATATATTGAACATTTACAATGAAGTATATTATTAATAGTTTCTATCCAATAATTATATTGTTGACAAAGATTTTTATAGTGTAATTCTAATTCATCCATACTAATTTGACTTTGATTATTTAATCTTAATGATGAATAGATTTTTGAATTTTCATTATTTACATAATTTTCCGTATTGAATTGAATAAATTGAATAAAATGTTCAATATTTCTAATAATTTTAGTTAAAAGTTGTACAATTCCATTTCCATCATGTAATTGAATTCGACGATTAACGATCATATTTGTAAGCTCCTATAGTAAGACAATAATAAAAATGAAGTAATATGAAAACTATGTGTTGAAGTTACAATTGATTGATCACTGGGTGGTGATCAATGTCATGCTTGTCTAGTCCTTATTAGTGCAGATCGAATGTTATCGATCATGTTGCAATGTGGCCACCAGTCTAGGTGACTCGACACTGCGGGCACTATGTATTGAGATTTAGATGATGGTTGGAGGTAGTCAACAGGAAACCCTGGACCCGGGTTTCGTGCTACTTGGCATTCGTCAGCAAGGTGTACCGCCAGGGAGCACCAGTTCCCTCAAGATTACAAGTACACCTTGCTGACGAGTGCCAAGTAGCACGAAACCCGGGTCCAGGGTTTCCTGTTGACTACCTCCAACCACCATCTAAATATGTGTTGAAGTATTTTATCATTTGATTTTCTTTTTAAACAGTCGTGTATAGATGAAGTAACTTAAATCCATCAGTCAAAGTAATACAATTTTCTTTATTTAAACATATAAAACATTGATACAAGGAGGCAACAAACAGATATGTGCCACATAAATTATTCGATTTCTGTGAGGGTTGGAATACTGCTCGGGTGCCCAAACAGAAACAGGCGGTACACATGTGGGACTACACACGGAGTCTTCGACCTAAAGGCCTGATCCATAAGACAGTAGAGCAACGTAAGAAGATGCAGACCCATGGTAGCGTGTGTTCAATAATTGGTTCATACACCATTTGTTCCTTCAGGATGCTGGAGCCAGCCCATGTGCACGATTGGTTTGGAATGAGGATTTTCCAACTCCTCTAGATGGACTCTCTCTGTTCACCAAACTGGTTAGAGCGCCGGACAGTTGTTTTTCGTCCTCTCAATTTCGTAAACAACGCCCCTAGTAAGAGAAGGCAGTGAGTAGGACTTCCCGAGCGGTGGTTGTAACACGTGGTCATGTGAGAACATTTCAAGAGGGAGAGCAGACTTTCTCCATCCTCGGCCGTACCAGGGAATTTGGGGGTGTATATAGGTGTATATATAGAATGTATATAGACTGACTGTAACGAAAAATCATTTTGTGGATAATTTCAAAAAGGAATAATAAATAGCCACTTACTTATATACAAAGAATATAATACTGTTATAAATTGACTATCATAACTAAAATCAATTTAAAATGTCAAATAGAATGTTCTTATTACTAAATTCATTGAGGAGTCCCACAATAGGACGAAACGGTCATTCAGTGCTTTCAGGTTTTTCATGGCGATCTAATTTCAATTGACTTATGATCTCAACTATTGAAATCATTATAATATATTGATAGCTAAACATTTTTAGTAATTCGAAATAATGGATACAAGATTTCTCATCTACTTTAAGACATACTGTATTATACATTACAATAAAGTGTAGTTTTATGAATAAGGAATGATAGAGATTCAATGTGGTATACTTGAACTCTTTCTGTGAATTAAACTGAACGAAACAAAAATGTTAATTTATAATCTTCGCTGATAAACGATTCCAGTTTCAAGGATTGAAGTAGGATAGATGCTGACTAGTGGTAATGTATGTTTCTCATTTTCATACATTTTGTTACTGTGTATGTGTGAATTATGGACATAAAAGTGGATACATATATACACTGTGATATTTCAAAATAATGACTAGTAGAAGTTATGACATGGAATATTTAGATTATAAAAACAAAATGAATGGTGAATAATAAACAACAATAAGTAACTTTCAACTTGATCATTAACAAACTTACAAGCTGCTACAAATATACTACGGTTTAAGTTATTCACTTATCAATTATGCTATAAGATTAAAATCAAAGAAACTACAGTAAAAGCCAAACATAGAGAAACTATCAGAAGGGGTTTTGTGGATATTATGGTAATCTCAATGGTTGAAATCATGAGTCAATTGAAGCTATACCATCATGGAAAACCTGGAATTACTGAACTGCCGCTTCATTCTACTGTGAGACTCCTCAGCAGTGCTCATCCACGATCCTGTCTCGCGGGATTCGGACCCGGGACCAATCAGTATCGCTCGCAAGCTCTTAACCATTAGACAACTGAGCCGGCTTCAGCTAACTCATAATTTCAACTAGTAAAACAGAGAAAATGGTTTGGCTACATCTAACATTATTCTTACTTAGTTTTTTGCTAGCTAACACAGTACTTCAATGTGTCTGGTGATTGGACTTGTATTACACATATTTCAAATAACTCATTCGATGAAGGCTTATAGCCTAGTCCATTGATTTACCGTTTCGCACATTGCTTCAACATTACTCTCTTCATAGTTTTACCATATACAGATAACGGTCTCAAGGTATCTATCACCAAATACTGGTAGCCTACGTATTAATTTCTTTAACTCATTTCAATCAGCGGTAAGTTATTAGTGTAAGCTATATATCCGTAAAATATAGTTGGAAAATCATATCTATTGGTTGTACGTATTTGATTCAAAGTCTTATGTTCCTGATGCTGGGTTGAATGAAATAAAGACTTTTTACTTTTGTACTTATTTACTTACTCGTGTTGCCCATCGTGAAGCACAAGCCACTCACCAGGATTCTCCGACCATGTTCTGAGCTCTATATACCGCTCACTACCAAGTGCTATTTGGTCTTTTGATGACTCCCTCCAACTCCAGACACAATGTGTTATTTAGTGCTCCCCGTTCCTTTTTCTCCTCAGGATTCAAAGTGAACGCTTGCCTCATGATGTGATTTAATGATTTTTGCAATGCATGTTTCATCCACCCCCTGTATCTCTTCCTAATTCCCTCCTCATCTGGAAATTGGTTTTTCTTCTGCTGTCATAGGTTGATGATGATATGTAGCCAATGGATATGGAGAATTTTATGTGACCTAGTGTTTATAAATGCCTGTGTTTTTCTGATGGTGTTTATGGTCGCTCTCCAAGTTTCAGCTTCGCACCATAGAACTGTCCTGATATTTGTATTGAAGATTGTGACTTTGGTTTTGTCTGTCGGATTTTTTGAATATCATATGTTTTTCATTTGTGGGAATGCTGTCCTTATTTTGACAATCCGTGCCTTGGCAACTGTATCAGATCCTCTTTGTTTATCAATAATGCTTCCCAGGTACGTCAAAGGTTTTGCGTCTTCCACAGCTTCTTCAATAAGTGTGCTTGTCGACTGTCATGCTCCTCATAACTCTCTTGTTTGCTTCTGTGTATTCAGCTTGTGCCTTGACTTTCTCTGCCCTTATTTAACTGTTGTTATTTACAATCTTATTGTCCTTCCTTTTATGGGCTTTTCCTTACGATCGACTGCAGCGTCTCATAAAACTGATCGCTATCATCTTCATTACTATCATTGGTGGGTGCATAACACTGGATATCATTCGCTGTGATTCCCTCTTTCTTTGTTTTCAAGGATGCTTTGATGATCCTGGATCCGTGAGATTCTCATTCCATAAGTGCTTTTCGTGCTTATTTGGACAACATCGAGCAACTTCCTATGTGTGTGGAGCATTTTCTTCTTCGTGACCAGAGTACAACAGCATCTCTCCAGGATCTAGCTTTTTCTGTCTAGCTTGAGTTCAATGGGATTCTCTGATTTCGAATATTGTTAAGTTGTATCTCCTCGTTCTTGTAGCCATTTGGCTGGTCCTCCCAGTCTTCCACAACGTCCGGACATTCCATATACCAAGATTAATTGTTGTTCTGGTTGTCAGAAAGGGGATCGGTTTCGTGATTTCTGAAGAATCTCGGCTTTCATGATGAGGGATCATGATTCTTATGGATGAAGTTCCTTCAACTCCCAGGCCAAAGTTAAAATGTTTTTTTTGTTAACATTCTCGGAACAAGGTTGTTTTCTACGGCTAGAGTTTCTAGCCACATAACCAACCCTCTTCGTTTACCCAAGCTTGGGAACGGCATTAACCGTAGAAGACCCATAGGTGGAATGATTGATTAATATTTTATCGGTCGTATCTTTTTTTTCGACCATTAAAGCTTATTTCAACAAAGTTGTATGAATAAAAATACTCTGAATGTCATTTGTTAGTATTCAGTGATTCACTATGAAATTCTACCAAGTAATAATTTGTAGACATAAGAAATTGGATCTGAAGTAATAGTAAACTATTAAATAAGTAACTCCGCCCGTAGCTCTTCTGAAGTTACTGCCGGTCTCAAACCCGAGTAAAGGAGGAGGGTTGGGCATAGGGTTAGCGACCCCATCCCGTAGAAAACTAACTGGATAAAAAACGCAAAAAATCGTGGAAAAGAGGAAGGCTAAGGAACACATTATGTTGGGGAATAGAAGCACATATGAAAAGGATGAATAACAACTGGAAAGAGCTGGAAAGGATTACCCAGGACAGGGTTGGATGGAGAGTGCTGGCGGGCGGCCTATGCTTCTCCACGAGGAGTAACAGTCGTAAGTAAGTGCTAAATAAGTGATTTCGTGTTAAACAAAAGAGATAAACAGAATAAAATCAAAGGAAGTTGATCAAAGTAGAAATTAAAAACCACACGATTCGTTAATGATGACTGAGGATGTGGTGGACTTTTGGGAGGGATTATAAATCACCATCGATAAGAGTGAAGCAACCAATTCTATTTGAGTTAAATGCCCTTCATTTAAGATTTATTTAGTCTCAGACTAGTTGCTATCATTTATTTATTTGAGGTTGAAGTAAGACATTAACACCTTTGGATACCGGCCACCTCAGTGGTCTGGAGATTAAGCGCTGGTGCGCGAGAATGATAGGTCCTGGGTTCAAATCTCGCGAGACAGAATCGTAAATGCTCACTGTGGAGGAGTCCCACAATAAAACGAAATGGCCGTCCAGTAGTTTCAGGTTTTTCATGTTGGTCTAGTTTCAATTGACTCGTGATCTCAACCATTGAGATTACCATATAATCGATAAAACCCCTTCTGATTTTTATTTATTTGACTATCATTCATGAAATTTCACATTTTTGTACAAACATGATTAAATATTGATTCCTATTTTCCTGTTTCCATGCTACTGATCGATGGATGTGTATTTATTGTTCACTTTGTATCGTTTTACTTTTTTGTACCAATTGTATTGATTTGTTTTAAACATTGTAATTGTTGACTAAATATATGGTTACCTGCTTTGACTATAGCCTTGATGAGACTGTGTTCATCAGTTGAGGGACTTACTCAGGCAATACATCTATAGATAAATCAAATTTTATCTAATCATCTTCGCAATTTAAAATGACAGATAACAGTTTCAAGCTCAATATTATGGTAGAAACATACTCCTCAGATACTAATAGCTTATGTAATCTAAAATGATTGAAATATTTTGATGGAGTTTTGTTCTCTGAGCTGGATGATTTGGTCGTGAATAATATGGAACGCTACACAACGACACACAAAATTGTCAAGCGTTCCACAACCAAATCAATCATATAGCTTTAAAGGACATTTTACACAGAAACAATAGATCAAGTAAACTACATACAAATATATGCGATTTCGTATCGTATCCAACAAGAAAACAACTAACCTGAAGAAAAAAATATGTGTAAAAGCAACTTGAAAAATAGCTTAATTTGTAACAGTCTAGAGGCTAAGCGCTGGTGCTCGGGACTGGTAGGTCCTGGGTTCGAATCTCACGAGACTGGATGGTGAGTACGTACTGCTGAGAAGTCCCACAATAGGATTAAACGGCCATCCAATGTTTCCGAGTTTTCAATGGTGATCTAGCTTCAATTGACTCATGAATTCAATTATTAAATCAAATCTATTTCTGGCGAGACCATAATTTATGAACGAACCAATCAGATATAAGATCATGAGTAATGGATTTTGGCGCGAAATTCATTCATACATTTAGCCAAGTAGAGTTTTAGCATTGTAGTTCGTGATAAAAACCCTTAATCCAATTTTTAACCCCAACCAAATCAGTAGGTTTCCATTCCCAAGGTCATTTTAGCGTTGCTCAAAGGTCGTTCATAAATTATAGTCTCGCTAAAGTAGCAATAAAATTATTAGAATGTAAAGTTATACATTACTTTTTGTAATTGTATAGTTATTTCTTTTTCATAATTTGTAGAGTCTTCAAGCATTAATTCATCACAATGAGACGACTGATAAAACATTTCAAACAAACAATTTTGAATATGGTCAAGTGTTACAAGTTTTTCTTCAATATTTAATACACGCTCTCCATTGAATAAATCTAGACATTCATTGCTGATCTTGACAAAGACAAATAGAAAAAAAATTTGTAAAGTATACTACTTAATTATTCGGTTCAACTACTAATAGATGACTAGTATAAGGGTTGTGGTGATTATTAAGTTTTTGATTGAGATCATGAACCAGTTGATGTTAGACCATCATAATTGAAAACCTGATAGCACTGGACGGCCGTGACAGCCGTGACCAGTGAAGGTAAGCCTTGTCGGGTAGAGACAGGTATCTACCTCAGCACAACGGAAGTTGGCCGCGCAATTTCGTTGATTGGTTGATGTTAGAAACTATCACCATTGGATGCCGGCTCAGTGGTCCAGTTGGTTAAGCGTTCACGCGCGAGACCGTAGGCCCTGGGTTTGGATCCCGCGAGCGGGATCGTGGATGCGCACTGCTGAAGAGTCCCACAATAGGACGAAACGGCTGTCCAGTGCTTCCAGGTTTTCAATTGTGATGGTCTAACATCAATTGGTTCATGATCTCAATCAAATACTAATAGATGATGTTTCTAATTGTATAGGAAACTTATGATAGTTCCATAATTTGAAGTAGCAATAATAACGAATATATGATAGAATTATCCAAAGTGACTTATATTTCTTGTAGAAAACTAACTTGCTAAAAAACGTTAACCAGAAAAAAATAATTTAAACCATTTAAACTATGCCCTAGGAGTTAAAAGGTTTTCACGTAAACGAGTTATGATGCCTCATGGTGAAAGTCGATTTCCTTCGGCTAATGCCCGTTCTGACAACCAGAGCAACCATTAGTTTAAGTACATGGAATCTTGATACAATGTGAAAGACCGGAAGAATCTTCCATATTGCTGCAGAAATATAATAAATAATATGAAATCATTTGAACAGAAAGAACAAAAATTTTACTTAAAAACTAGGAAATCAATGAAAGATTAACTTCTTACTTTTAATAAATTTGACAGTAAGTCTAATAGATCATTTAAACCATTCTGTGTATTCATCAATCTAAGAAAGAGAAATACATAAAAGTTGTTTGTATAAAATTGTAAATAAACGTGAAACAAGGGAACTATATTGATTTTAATAGTTGAGATCATGAGTCAATTAAAACTAGACCACAATGGAAACACTGGACGGTCGTTTCATACTATTGTCGTACACCTCAGCAGTGCGCAGGTCATGACCTCGCCTCACGAGATTCTAGTATCCTTAGCACTAAGAACTAAAAATGACTTACTTATTATTGCACACCGTACTGTTTAATTATTTCGTCGAAATTTGTTGTTTGTCAATAGATTCTGTGGTTAACTGATGTTGGTCCAAAAAAATCAGCTGTGATAGATTATGATTTTCGCCACCTACAATTTTAGATCAGAGATTACTTTTATCGTATGAACCCAGCATAAAAACCACTCAGTCAGTCAGCAACCATGTAGACCTTCTTACGTACGTACATCAGTTCGATTTGCCATACCATACTAGCACACAGATACAATTGTCGATTCAAATCCCATAGTGGTAGAGGCAGCAAAAGTATAAGCAGTAATCGGAAAGATTAGGGTTTGAAGATGTTATTCAAGGCGTAAAATTCAATGAAGTAAATTTGGAAAGAGAAAAACTTAAGGATATGAAGAATTCAGAAGATTAGAGTTTGGGAGTACACAAAGAGTGGATGCACCTGTGCCATTGCAAGCGATTTTGAGCCATGTCATTCAAGGTCTCTGACCATCGGTTGCTATCATCTCGCGGTCCCTAACCAGGTAGTCTACACCTACCAACATACTTCAGTCAACTAGTCAGTGACTTGATGAATTTGTGCCATGTTTTGGTCTGGCCACCCCTAGCTTCCTTCCAACCTACTGCTACACCAGTTGGTTGTTGCGCATACATGACACGCGTCCCAGTCATCTCAACTGATGAAGTTTCACCACTTCATCAATTGATTTACCATTCTTAATTAGTAACTGTTTCCTAATAACTTCATTACTGTTGGGGTGATCCAGAAAATTGCTTGCAAAAGACAAGCAAGCATCAGGAAACACTAAAAAGCGTTTCGTCCAATCAGTGTTCACTTGAGATCTTAGCCAAAAATATCAAGGAAGTGAAACCTCACACTGATACTATGTTTGGTAGCATTCCAGAATCTTCTAGCGACCCAAGGACATTTCAAATATTATAAAAACCCTGTATTTTCTGTATTAAAATGAACCTTGGAGTAAACTACTTCTCGCATACTTTGAGTCTTCTCTCTCGTGTTCAGGTCGCTGTATAGTTACAGAATAGCTTAGGAGACGAATATAGCGTTCAATCCGCAAAACTTATCAATTACTTACTTGATGGTCCCAGGATATACGATTAATGCTTCGAAGACACCTATAATCAAATACTAGTAACCTACGAATATACTCTACTCTTACCGGTCATGTTTCACTGCCACAAAGTAGGACGGAACGAACTGCTACGCAGTAAACCCGTCCTTTGGTTGGTAGATAGAATTGGTCTTAGGCAGGTAACCAGTAACTTTATAGAAAATGAATCCAAAATAACTTGTCCTCATTTCTATACATCACTAAATTCACTTCTAAAATACATCCCAAATTGATGTCAGTTCATCATTCACAATATTTCTTCAATTGTTTGATCTTGGAAAGATTGTAAAAAAAAATCTGTATAATGACTTAATCATAACAACAACAACAAAAAAATAAAATAGTCAATATATATTATGTAATATATAACCTGTTATGTTGAAAATATGTATCTAGACTCTTTAATATAGAATCTAATTTTTCTAAATATAATTTACATTCATGATTATGAATATAAAGATCATTTTCTATAGATTCAAATTGTATATACCAATCATTCCATATAATTTTATTCATTTGATTCAATATTGTTATATCATATTGTTTTAATAATTCTATTAACCATATACCAATAAATCCCCATATTTCAACAATTTGTTGTAATTTAAAATATAGAATAGGTAAATTGAACATTGGAATATTTGATATTTGATTGTAAACCTATAATTGATAATAAGTTATAAAAAATCATTTTAAAATGAACGAATAAGAAAAAAAATTCTTTATATTTTTGTAATTATACAATCGGTGTCATTGGATGGAACTAGAAAAGGAGGCCCAGGGCAGAGTGGGTTGGAGAATGCTGGTCGGCGGCCTATGCTCCATTGGGAGAAACAGGAGTAAGTAAGTAAGTAATCGTTGTCATTGAAGTCATTCTTATTATTTCCTGGAATAGTTATAGAAGCGTACATGAGCTCCAGTATCCTGCGGGAATAAATGGCGTATGAACCAATTATTGGTCACTGGCTTCCATGGGACTGCATTTCCTTACGATGTTTTACTGCCTTGTGATTCAGACCTTCAGGTCGAAGGCTCGGGGTGTGGCCCCTTAAGAAAACCACCTGCTTCGGTTTGGGCACCCGGGCAGTATCACAGCCCTCACATATATATCGAATGAGATTTGTGTGGCGCATATGTATTTGATGCCTCTTTGTACAAATATCTATGTGTTGAAATAAATAAAATAGAAGTTGTTTGGATAACACATGTGAAATACACAGAAGTTAATTAGGTTATTACCGTGCATAAATAAAATATTGATCATATATTTTCATTGCAGATACCATAAAACGTTAGTAGAACAATCCACCAAACGCCCTGATACGGCCGAGAGTCTTACTCACTACCACGTCGTGGCGGGGGTGTTGTCTACGAAATTAAGAGGATGAAAAGCGAATGTCTAGCGAGTTAACCGGGTTGGTGGAGACAGAAAGTTCATCTAGGGAAGTTGGAAAACCCACATTCCAAACCAACGGTGTACATGGGCTGGCTCCAGGATCCTGAAGAAACAAATGGTGTATGAACAAATTATTGGTCACCGACTACCATGTGACTGCATCTCCTGACGTTGCCCCACTGCCTTGTGGATTTGACCTTTAGGTCAAAGGCTTAGGATGTGGCTTCCTTAGAAAACTACCTCCTTTGGTTTGAGCACTCGGGTAGTGTCCCGGCCCTCATATAAATCGAATAATTTATGTGGCTCATATCTATTTCGTGCCTTCTTGTACCAATGTTTGTGTTTAAATAAATAAATAATAAATAGTAGACCAAATTTTTTATGATTAACAATCAATAGACACAAAGAAATCGATTATTTTATCCAAAAAAACTGACAGTATTAGAGGTTCTTAATTTATCAGTGTCTGAAAACAGGCTATTATAGGGTAGTAGGTAAAACCTATTGCCAAAAAGAGATTTAGATCAGAATAAGGTTTGTGGAGATTGTAGTAATTTGAATAGTTGAATTCATGAGTCCATGTAAGCTAAACCACAGTTGAAAACATGGTAGCACTCGACGACTGTTTTGTCCTAGGATGGGACTTCTTATCAGTGCGTGTTCACGATCCTACATGCAGGACTCGAACCCAGGACCTTCGGTCTCGCGCGAGAGCGCTCGATCTCTAGACCATTGGGCCGGTATCCAATGATATTAATGTCTAACTTCAATTGGTCCATGAGTGGTTGCGTAACCTTTCGTCCATTGTCTGAGGTCGGTACCTGTCTCTATTGACACAGAATGAACTGTACTGGTCACGGCTTCTCACCAGATCTCCAGGAAATCATCTTGAAGCCAGTCACTAATGAGCACGTGATGATTATGGTCAGAGTGTGGTTTGTAGAGATTGTAGCAACTTTAATAGTTGAATTCATGAATCGATCTGGGCTAAACCACTATTGAAAACCTGGAGGCTCAGTGGCCTACAGACTAGACATTCGTGCGCAAGACCAAAGTTCTTGGGTTCGAGTTACGCACGTGGGGTTGTGAATGCATGAGGTGTTGAGAAATCGCATTCCAAGACGAAACAGTCGAAAAGTAAATTCAACTATTAAAAAGAGGTTTAACCTTCCCTTTAAATGTTTTATCAGCAAAGCCTTAACAAAGATTTTTCCACATGTAATAAATCATTAGCAAGGAATGAAACATTAAGTAAGCAAACGTCTCTGAAAATATTGATTCCGTTGACATCATCTATTGGCTTAAACGGTGATTTCTTATTGGCAAATGAAAAGGACATCCTGGTAAATTTTTTTATGGAGACTGAATATTAATTTAAGTACTCACAAAGGGAAAAGCGAAATTCTCCGATACAACACAGCATGCACCAATCCAATCACAATTGACGGAAAAGATTTGGAAGATGTAAAAACCTTTACATATCTGGGCAGTATCATTGATGAACATGGTGGATCTGATGCATATGTGAAGGCGCGGATCGGCAAAGCAAGAGCAGCATATTTACAACTGAGAAGCGTCTGAAACTCAAAGCAACAGTCAACCAACACCAAGATCAGGATTTTCAATACAAATGTCAAGACATTTCTACTGTATGGGGCGGAAACCTGGAGAACTACGAAAGCAATCATCCAGAAAATACAGGTGTTTATTAACAGTTGTCTACGCAAAATACTTCGGATCCATTGACCGGACACTATTAGCAACAACCTACTGTGGGAGAGAACAAACCAGATCCCAGCGGAGGAGGAAATCAGGAAGAAGCGCTGGAAAAGGATAGGACACACATTGAGGAAAGCACCCAACTGCGTCACAAGACAAGCCCTCACATGGAATCCTCAAGGCCAAAGGAAAAGAGGAAGACCGAAGAACACGTTACTATAAGAAATGGAAACAGACATGAGAAAAATGAACAAGAATTGGATGGAACTAGAAAAGAAGGCCCAGGACAGAGTGGGTTGGAGAATGCTGGTAGGCGGCCTATGCTCCATTGGGAGTAACAGGCGTAAGTAAGTAAGTAAGTACTCACTAACTGATATGTAAGCAATTTTGAGAATTCATTGACTGTCAATATTTAGACAATAGACAAACCCAATTGATATTCCTAGATCATCACAAGCTTATTAAACGTTATTACATTAAGCAATAATAAGATTCGATGAACTAAAAACATTATGATTAATATAAACACAATAACTTACATGATAATTAAGTACTTTCAATGAATTGTTCCATAATTTGTAGTTGTTTTTCATATTTTCCAACCTGTCTTTAGAATGTTTTCGTTGATTTGTATAATAATGTTTAAATTCACTTAGTAAATATTCTCTCATTGATGCTTCACTTAATTTAGCCTTAAGCTAATTTAAAAAAGAGAATTTACTGATATAGGTTAGCTATTACAAAAATTAATTCATAGCCCCCAAATGCCCTGATACGGTCGAGAGTAGGGAGAGTCAGCTCTCCCTCTCCAAATGCACGCACATGACCATGTGCACACAACCATTGACAGGAAAGTCCTACTCACTGCCTACTCATACCACGGGTGTTGTTTACGAAAATTAAAGGGACGAAAACTGCATGTCTGGCGCTTTAACTGGGTTAGTGGATATGGAGGATTCACCTAGGGGAGTTAGAGAATTCCCATTCCAAACCAATGGTGTACATAGCCTTAAGAATCCTGAGGGGACGAATGGTGTATGAACTAATTGTTAGTCACCGGTTACCATATGACTGCGTCTCCTGACGTTGCTGCACTGCCTTGTGGATTTGACCTTAAGGTCAAACGCTCGGGGTGTGGCCCCCTACGAGAACCACCTGCTTTGGTTTGAGCACCCGGGTAGTGTCCCGGCCATCATATAAATCGAATAATTTATGTGGCGCATATCTATTTGGTGCCTTCCTGTACCAATGTTTATATGTTTAAATAAATAAAGAAGTTCGTACCTTAATTGCAATGTCTTCTTCTTCCATTTTATATGTTTTGTTTGTTTCAGAAATCGCTTTAATCCTACTTTTATTTTAGAATAATAATTATGCTGTGCTTAACTTACTGCAAAATATCCATGGTTTCATTGACATGTTGTTCATTCAATTGTAAAGTTTTTTGACATAGTATTTCTTGACAGAATAATTCAGTGAATAAACTACAAAAAGATCATTCCATTTTAGTCAGAACAGTAATAATAGTAGTAATAGTAATTTTTAATAGTTGAAATCATGAGTCAATTTAAACTAGACCACCATAGAAAACTTGGAAGCACAGGATGGCCATTTCGTCCTGCTGTGGGACTCCTAAGCGGTGCGCATCCACGATCTCGCCTCGCAATATTCGAATCCAGGACCTATAGGTATTTCCTGGAGTTCTAGTGAGAAGCCATGACCAATAGAGTTCAACCACGTCTGTTGTGAGATAGTAACTCACTGAAGACAATGGTGGATGTGTCGCTCAATTTCGTGGATTGATTGAAGTTAGACATTAACACTATTGGATGCTGAGTCAATGGTCTATTGGTTAAGCATTCGCGTGAGAGACTTATAGGTCCTGAGTTCGAGTCTCGCTAGGTGAGGTCGTGGATGCACGCTGCTGTGGAGTTTCCATACTAGGACGAAATGACCGTCCAGAGCTTCCAGGTTTTCCATGGCGGTGTAGCTCCAATTGACTCATGAATTCAATTTTCCATTTTAAACTGAATCAGTATTTCACTACTTACTTAGAGAATTTGATTGGTAAAGATTCAATAAAATTTTTGTAAATCATTCTAATATCGGCTAAAAGTTTGCCACGTTCATAACATTGAACAGTTTCCTGAGGAAAAATAAATTCGAGTGAATTATTTTTAATGTTATCAATTTATTTTATATCAGAAGGGTTTTTGTAGATATTATAGTAATTTCAATAATTGAGATCATGAGTTAATTGAAGCTACAACACCATGGAAAACCTGGAAGCACAGAACGGCTGTTTCGTCTTATTGTCCAATTCCTCAGCAGAGCGTGGGGTCGTGGATGCTCACTTCTGAGGAGTCCAATACTAGGATGAAACGGCCGTCCAATGCTTCCAATTTCCTCATGGTGGTTTAGCTTCAATTGACTCATGATTTCAATTATTGAAACCAATTTATTAATTGTAAGTCAATTATTCTAACCTTGTTTTATAAACCGATTAGAATGATCAATATCTTTATGTGAATCATGAAACTAAGAAATGTTTTCTAATCGTGTACTAACCTACTTACTTACTTTATCTGCAAAGCCCTAATCGTCTAATTGGTTCTAAGCTGTCTATTGTATTCCATGTTTTCTCGCAGATGTCCAGGTCTTCATAATCCAGTCAACCACCAAAAGAAACAGAAAGGGGGAGAGTAGACAGTCTTGTTTGACTCCGGTATTTACTTAAAATGCATCTGTGAGTTGTCCTCCATGCACGACTGTGAACGGTTGTCCGCCGTATGAATTTCAGGAATTGTTGACAACCTTCTCAGGGACTCCATAGTGTCGAAGAAGTTTCCATAATGATTACTTGTCCACACTGTCAAATGCCTTCTCATAGTCAAGGGAGTTAATGTATAGTGACGACTTCCACTCAACTGGTTGTTCGACGATGATCCGTAGTCTCGCTATTTGGTCTGTGCACGACCGGTTCTTACGTAATGCAGCATGTTGATCTCAAAGTTCGGAAACTACTGAGTCTTTCATTCGGTTCAGCAAAACTCTGTTGAAAACTTTTCCTGGTGCTGATAGTAATGTGATGTCTCTATATTTCTCACATTTGCTCAGATCTACTTTCTTTGGTATCTTGACGAGGTATCCTTCTTTCCAGTTTGTCGGTGGCACTTAATCTTCCTCTCAAATCTTCCTGCAACCTGTTTTTGAGAGTTATCTTGAGTTCGTTGAGTTTGTTAGTATCTCGAAGGAAGGTTGTGTTGAACCTTTGTAATGCTGTTCCACCAGTTGTCTAGTGTTTCTTTAGCTTCAGTTTCAAATTGGCCCAAACAACCACTTGGTGATCTGAAGCCATATCAACTCCTCTCCTGGTTCTCACATCTTTCATCGTCCTTCTGAATTTTTTATTGATACAAATACGATCTATCTGGTTCTCTGTGTTGTGATCCGGTGAGATCCATGTAACTTTTTATATAAGTTTGTGTGAGAATATTGTACCGCCCACAACCAATTTGTTGAATGCACATAGATTTGCAAATCTCCTCATTTTCATTTCTCTCCATGTTCTAACTAGACTTGTTTCATTGTACTACTTTTATAGTCCTATTATACCCGTTTCCCACTTATTTATCATAGTTTTATGATATTAAACACAGACATGTTAAATGAAAATGAAAACATACAAATTTTGGAATACAATATCTGATCAAGCATGTAACTATCAGATGAATTAATTCAATTCCGTTGGTTAAATTGTATTCAGTTGTCTAATTAATTCAAATGATTTATATGTGAATCTTTCCAATATTTTTTTTCTTGACTGACCGTTTATCTATCTATCTATTAATCATATCGATGTATAAGTAATTTTGACAGTGAAAAATTGGCACTCTGAACAATTAAGATCTATTTCAATGAAATGCGGATTAAATCAGTCTAACACAGTCCTTGATTTACTTTACTAAAATAAAACTTGTGGTTATCCCATAGCCGGTGTTATATCTATTTTAATACAACTGCTAGTGATTCTAAGTGTCAGTGTCAACATAAATTCAAATCAACTACAAGGAGGTTTAGTTTTTGTGTTATTCCAATTTCAATTCAGCCATTTCAAATCAGTCCTATTACACTTGAATTGTTCAATGCTACTGTGCATGCTAGTTATTCGAGAATATGTGTATTTATATATCCCCAGTCATCGAGAATAAATGTGAGTAATGTAGCAAGTCATAAACCTTTTACCATATCTATTGATTACGGATCAGTTAGTAAAGTACTTAACTTGTTAAGTGATGCACAGTAACCTTCAAAAATCCCCATTGCCTTGATGTGGTCATTCATGTAATCCTACAACTTTTGATTGCAAGTATATGACTGTTCAATAGATTATAAGTCTCTAATGTCATCCATTTAGGACGACTTTTATCAATCATAGCATGATAGTTTTTTTCAGGACACTGACAATGTATCTTAGTGTAACAGTGTATATGATTAGGTATTTGTTTGCCTGAACTTTTCCACTTTATAAATAATGTCACTCGTAAATTTACATAAATCATATTTAAAGTATTCGTATAAAACTTACACATGACTGGCTACTTGTTAGCACATATTTCAGGTAAAAAGATACGACAAAATAAAATTACCATGAAAAAAACTTTAAATGACGTTTATCAGCTCTTTATGTCTACGACATGCGAAGATTTTTACACCCTTATTCAAAAGCGGCTAAAGTTTTCTTTAAGGATAACGCTAAAAGTACAATTTTCATATCGTAATTATTTGTCAAACTTTCATCACATGTAACCAAATATATCCACTGTCGTTTGAGTCCCAACGTTGAGTTGTTGACCATAAAATTAAATCAATCCATAGCCTAATGAGTCTACATTAACTAATGTAGTTAAAACACTTCTTATTACAAACCAAATCACTACCCATCTTACCACGGAATGTCAGATGTGGTTATAAGAATGAACTTATCTGATTATTCAGGCAGGCGGCACCTAAACACTTAGTCAATGACTGTTGTTGTAAAATTCATGAATAAACGGGATATATATAGACATAATGCACAAGAGAAAATTCGACGACAATTAATGATCGATTTCAAAACCAACTATGAATTTTCAGCGCCAAGTATTTAAAAACTGGATGACTATTTATTTCATGTTACATTGTTGTCTCTTGAATATCTATTCTAGTATCTTATTGGTATATTAACTGTTTAAGATGTCCAACGAAAGGGATGTTTTGAAATTTGTTGTCAATGAAGAAACAGCTAAACTGTGTTAGGAGTAAAGTTAAAGAGCAGTCTACTAAATTAGTGGTACATCTAAAAGGCTGATTGAGTAAAGGTTCTAAAAATGATTAAATTCATATTCACTCATTTCTCTCACCCCTAAAACCAATTGTAACGTTTTAAAAAGATAAGTAAGATGCCATATATGTTTGAAATTTAAAGGACACATCTTAAATTGTAATTTAAGACATAACATGAAAAAATGTTGAACACTATCTTTACCTAATCTTTTGTTCTGTAAACGGGTTTCACAATATTATGTTTAAGGTTGTGTAGATTTGTCGTTTCTAGCGAAGAGAATACTATGTCTAACTAATTATATTGAATACGGGCTGCCATTTTAAAACAACTTATGATAACTAAGAGTATTTGACTTATATTACAAACTAGGAATCCCAGAAATAACGCAATTTATCCAAGAAGTACTAGATGAGCACGAAAGAACGTATTGTATTTAGAATTCGAAATCAAGCAGTCATTATGTTCAACGAAATTATTGTTTCATACAAACACCACATTCGCCACAGTATAAATGAGAATTCAAAACTCTGAATTCAATCATACCTCTTCTTCTTAGGTTCATCGAGTCTGTCCGACCGTGTATTGGATGTAGACTCTGTATGATCTGGGTCCCGGAATTGGATACAATCACTATGTCGGCTGTGTAGGAAACCACGGATATCTAGAATTTAAAATCATGGATTTTCTAACACTAACCACCCCCACGAAATAATATAGGGTCATTATATCGCAGTTGCATGACCATTTTGACGTTCACAATTTCTATTACTTCTCATATTTCACATTTCGATTATCATCTATGAGTATTTGAAAATACACACTGACATATAATTTGAGGCATTCCATAATGTGAATTTGACCCGCATAAAAATATGATACATATTCCTTTTGCTCTTCACGTTAGAATACACAGATAAATATGCCTTAATATGTGTAATCAACACGTGTGATTTATTTAGGCTTGATTCACTACAAAACAATCAAATGGAAAATAGGCATCTGCCTCATACTCATTAGGATAATCTTGAACTCGATTTGAATTTTCTGTCTGTGCAAACTCCATATTTAGGTAAACTGGTTCTTTGACTACTTCGGGAAAACTTGCTATTTCCTCTGACTCATCATACCACCAACTAGGGATTCTACTCAACATACATTGGTTGTGAGAATATCCAATAGCTGATACAATAACATCAGGAATGTGACTAGAATTCAACTCATTCGGAACATATTTGTCACATTCATTAGGGATATCACTGGAGATAAATCCACTGTGAGAACAAATGACATTTAATATGACATCAGAATTTGATTCTTCCGAAATATTTTCCTCAGATTTATTAAGAATTTCATCAAAGAATAATGAATCACTAGAAAAATCAGCATCTGTCAAAACCGCGTTAGATTTTCGATCATGACTTGATTCACTTAACATATTTTCCTCAGATTTATAAAACTTTTTATCAGAAACATGTGAATCATTAGGACAAACCACATCTGGTACAATAACATGAGAAATCTGATAAGAAGTTGATTGATTAGAAATGTTTGTCCCACAGTGATTCTGAGTTTCACTTAATTCTGACTCTATACCGCCTTTCGAAGTCGTGGATAAAGATAAATGATCAGTAGAAACACTCAACTTAATAGGATAACAATTACAAATTTTAGCTATAGTTGAAGCAAAATGAACCATGGTATTGTAAACTGACTGAATGTGTCCAATCTCATCACATTTAAAGCATTTAGAATTATGAAATTCACATGAATTAAATGAGTGCAACCTTCCATAGGACAAACATTGATCAAAGTTGTGCCCATCTTTTTGACCTGGATCTGCATAACCTTGAGTACGCAACGCGTTGGGATAACGTAGTAATGTAGTGGAATTTTCGATGTCCCGATGAATCATTTTACGGAATTTTTCTCCTTTACTTTACATATTCTAGCAGTAGTTCTTTAAAAGTTGCATAAGGAGGCCAAATAGACTTTTCTGGTAAAGCCAGAGTTTTTAATGAACTGTATGCTTCTTTGCCGATTAATGTAAAGAAATATGCCACAATGTTAACATCCTCGACATCCCCCTTGGTCATAGCCCAGATTTCGAACCTTTCAATGTAATCCTCAATCACAAGCTCCATCGCGACGCCAATTTGATAATTAGGAGTATTTGAATTATAGTACAAACTAGAAATCCCAGAAATAACGCAATTTATCCAAGAAGTACTAGATGAGCACAAAAGAACGTATTGTATTTGGAATTCGAAATCAAGCAGTCATTATGTACAAAGAAATTATTAGTTCATACAAATACCATATAACTAATCGTTTTATTTAACGTCTTTATCTTTTATTGCTTGAGTTATGGAGATACACTGTGGCTGCAAATCCTATTCTTGTAGGTCAATGGTACTAACATGTTCATCTTTAATTTGAGTCTCCTTTTTCTTAGGTATTTGCATCCACTTACAAGTGGGTAATGTTTTTTCGAACATTTGTGGACAAAACGTTCTGAAATCTCGTTTGAAAATCTAATGTATATTGATAGTTGGTGTTTAGCAACAAAACTAAAATTTATAATGTATAATCTCGTAGAACATTTTACTAACGTTCACATCTTAATATATAACTTTAACTTTGTAACAATAAACTTTTAAACCCAATCTTACCTGAAAAATAAACTTTTCAAGATAACTGTGGTAGTATTTATTTTCCTGATCTATGCTTTTTAAAAAAATCATGGTGAAGTTTGTTGAGTTGCGTTTGTTATTGTACAGATGACAAATGCCTGAGGGTGATTCTCTCAATTTCACAACCTCAGTATCCTTACAAAAATTAGGCAATCTGAAAGTTATTACATAAAATGTCGTACAGCTTGGGAAGTATTATGATTTGCCCTGACGTATCCTTAAAAAACACTGTGAACTGACTGGAAAATAAAAACTTGAGGTATATTTACTTGTCCTCAACTTGAATTGCATTACACACGTCGAATCTGACTATGGAAAAGCATCTGTGACTTAAACCTTCCAGCAGTAAACTTCTCAATGCATGCTTTAAAAATTTATATAGGTTGCACAATTTCTACCTCGTGAAAACACGTCGGAACAACGATGCAATGGCCACTAAATGGTATAAATAGAGCCAAAATAAAATACCTTGAGACAGAGTTTCGTATCAGTTTATCTAGCAAATGTTTGAATCGCTCCCTATTCCTTTGAAAGTACCATAACGACCAAGTCATATTAATCGGGGTTTACTTGTGACCTTCATATCTAAGTAACCAGAACATACTTAGTCTAAATGATTTGTGCGTCTAAACAATTAAATGGTTCAAATGGTTCTGGACGGAATGGAAGAAGCTTTCGCTTAACAGGCTTCCGTGTCTAGTAGCAGAGGATCACCAAATCCTTCAGGCAGGAACCTAAGTATGTTAACAATAAAAGAGGAAAAGAAATTGGTAAATCATAGTGTGATACTGTCCTTGGTCCTTAAGAATAGGTCAAGTTGCCTCTTGAAGGAATCCTGAGAAGTCGCTTGGACTAGCTCAACTGGCAGCGAATTCCAGCTTTTGACAACTCTTAAGGAGTAGAAGTTGTGTCTACATCCAGTCTTGCTATGTTGAGTTTCCAGTTTCTGGGTGTTCCCTCTTAGGTTAGTATTCGAACTAAGCTTGAGTAGGTGTTTAAGAGGATGTCCAGAAGTGTTAAGAATACTATAAGCCATTAATAAATCACCTCTAAGACGCCTATACTCTAATGGGTAAAGGTCTAGTGAATGGAGGCGTTCTTCGTAAGGCTTAGATTTGAGTCCTCGAACTGATTTCGTGGCTTGCCGTTGGATACGCTCCAAAGTGACCTTGTCCTTTTGGAGTGAGGGGGGAATACTATGTTTCCGTACTCTAAATGGGGACGGATAAAACTACTGAAAATTGTATGGAAAGTTCTTCCGTCAAACTGGCAAAAAATGCGCTTCAATGTTACCAGTGCAAGGTTTGCTCGGAAGTCATTTTTGTCACAATTAGCGTAAGACCTTAATCATGGGGCACAGGGCTCTTAAATCTATTTCGACTTGGGATACTACTAGAGAGGAGTTTCCTTGGTTGCAACTGTAGTTTGCGACATGTCGCAGATGAACTACTTTACACTTTGAAGTGTTAAAGGTAAGACCGTTATCATCTGCCCAACTTTGAAGTCGAGTCAGGTCCTCCTGAAGTGCCTGTGTATCGTCTTAGTTGCATATCTCTCTCCAAAGTTTCACGTCATCGGCAAAAAGTAGTAAGTCTGACGTTACTTGTTGAGGAAGATCGTTTATGTAGATCAAGAAGAGAAGAGGCCCCAATACTGAGCCCTGGGGGACCCCACTAGAACATTCCATAGCCTGAGACAAAGTGAAATTAACCCTAACCTTAAAGTGTCGATTTTCTAGGTATGAAGTAAGCCAATTGATTAGAATTGGAAATACAATATGAAGGTAAAATGGGCTAATTTGTCGCGCAAACAAGGAGTTTAAGTTTCCAAAATCATATTGCAAAAAGTAAGACGTTTACCAAATATGTTTTTGGGATCAATCATCCCCAACATCATCGAACATCTGTTGACTATGTCGATTATGAGCCATACAGATACTGAAGTTAATCTGCGACCGAAAATAAGTTATACAAGCAGATAATTAAGTAGTGCTACCTACTGACTTCCGTTTGCGCATTACGATTGTAATGATTTCATAGCAATTCTATATCAATTACAGATGTGTTTACCGGCCACGGTTACCATCAGTGCATGCCAGATAGTAACTTTCCTGGAGGGCTTTTCGTGTCAGACTGTTTAAAAATCGGGGAACTACATAACGTTTTGCAATTTCTAGATTTATCATACACAGTGTAACGGAAAGAGGACGATGAAAATCCCTCCGCAGCTTCTTTGTTGAACGGTATTGTCATTTACTTGTTCCTTCTCCCTGTCGTGTATTTTAACCTTTGTTCACATCTCGTTTAACTACATCCTTTGTTCTTCAGTCTTCCTCGTTTGAGCCTTTATTATGTGATTTCGATTAAAGACTTATCTTTTGTTACCTAAGCTTCCATTGCATATTGTCAGACTGTTGACAATAAGGTTGTGTTTGACTAAGTCCAAGGTGACTGCGTGGTTCGGTGTGGCACTGTTAACCTTTCGACTGTCTGTTTGGGGGGATAGCTGGAATCCCTGCAGATAGATAATTGATCCCACCTTGTAGGGAATATTTTCACTGATTCTCGTGTATAAGACCCTTTAGTATTAACTTTTTCCTTCATTGTTGAGTGCGCTACTTTGCGTTAGAGAAACTTGTGACTGTATAGCACAAGCTTTACCGTTTGAGGTATTTTGTAATTTTGATATAATTTGTTCTGTTTTCTAAATTAGAACTGTTTATATTGAGCACAGAGTTTGTGTTTTGATATAATATAATACGAGCATCTCAAAAACGCGTTGTGCGCTATACAGAGGAACGTGGTTTGGTCTAATGGAATAAATTTTGGGTCCGTCAGTCCGGTGTCCCAACCGAATATTGGTTGTTCGGTCGTTACACATAGTATGATGCGAAAAAACTGGTCCAAGTTTTCTGTTTCTCATGATCTAAAAATAAATCATTTTGGTGTTGAAGATATTCAAAGAGGTCAGGAGTGTCTACGAATATGATGAATATTAAATTATGGGTCGGAGTATGACAGAGGTCTGCGACATCATTTTGTGTTGCTTGATGCTTTTCTATGACAGAATAAACCTCGGTGCTGGGGGTTCTAGTGATCTCCAGAATCCAATCACCTGATGTAGCCAGTTCATCTACGGCGTTATTTTAGGATTAGAAAAGAACCACTTGCGAATGTTTGTTACGGGAGAACTGTAAACATTTGGCTAATTAAAACCTTTTTATTGTACATCAATAATTTTACTGTTTTTGTATGTATTTGTTTTACCTAACCTTTGAACATGTTTGTTTATATCATTCCTTTCGGAAATTTTGGTTTCTCTTTGTCATTTGTCCTTTTATTGTCATAATTATTGTTGTTAAAACGACATTTGGGTCGACTCTTTGTAAATCGCGAATAAACTTTGGTATCTAATTGGAATTTGGTTCCATTATTAATTTTGGTTCATGAATTGCAAATAGATCGACATACCCTACTTCAATAAAGGGAACGAGCAAAACTTGGACGTGACATGTCGAGGAAGACTGTATATGAAGAGTTGTTTAAAAAGCCTTTGTTGAAGGCTCGATTACCAAAAACCTCACGGCTACGTAGCAAAATTTCTGTTGCTTAACCGTGTTGCGACTATATGTTATGGATGAACTGGTCTAAACTTTGTCGGTTTGTTAGTGTCATTGGACCATAACCACACAATCCCCAAAGCTAAACACGAGATTACTCGGAAAATAGTTATTCAATATTTAACGCGTTGAAATACCTAACGAGGGAAAAGGCTGGAGACGAACTAATTGAAGTTGATTCGATGGCATGGCTTAGCAATGCAGGCGTGGTCCCTACGGAACGTTACTCTATATCTTTTAGTCATATTGAATATATTGTTCTTTATCTAGCCTAAGCCTGTTCTCCATCAGGAATTAGTAATTATTACGACACAGTGAGTTGGTGCAGACGATGATGTAGCTTCCACGTAAGATCTTATAGATTAGGCAGTTATATCATGACAAATCTACAATTTTAGGATTAGGTCTATTTTTAGAGCTGTACTAATATCATAGTAGATCATTATTCTACAAGACCACCACATTTCTGTGTGGCCTTTTTAGCTGTTATTGGATTCCCAAACATCATTGATAAAGATGCTTACCACCTAAGATCGCACAGTTATGCCTTCGTTACTGCGGGGAATAGCTCACCTGTATCAGTCGCACCGTTATCATGGAAGTCAGCTTCTACATAGCAGAACCTTACCACTATGTTAACAGGCCAGAATGGAATGATTTGAAAGGTGGGGGTGTAACGGTCTTAATCTCCAATAAATTAGGTGTCTGTTCCGTCATAATGATGATAAAGTTGTAGCGGTAAATAAATTCCAAACTAAATAGCTCTATAGGTTTTCGACATTGGATGCTGACCATATGTTTTAGTGGACTCATCTAGCTGAAGGCTCTCGGTCATGCATCCGCACCAGATCACGTGCTGTCACGCTGTGCTCAACAACAATCGCAATCACTAGCCAGATTAGATCAGAGATTCCCGATATATTGGTTATCGCCAAATACACTCTTCCGATCTCCTCGACTCTGTCTTTTGATTTCTCTCGGTGGGAACAAAGCATATTAGAAGGTGTTATTGGTAGAAGCGTTGTCAAACACTGAATACGTGTATCATCCTCATTGGTGAGACCGTCGTGATCTGGTACACCTAATTGCAACTGTGAGTCTGTTCCTTTTTGGAATTTTTATATATTATTACCTTAATTTTTTTTAAACATTGTGATTTTTTTTTCGTGTTTTTCCTTGGATATATATATATATATATTTTTTTTTCAACTCGTTCATTATCGTACTTCATATTTCATCATGGCTGAACAGACACCCAAAGTACTCAAGCTTAAGACTTTGTCCCCGCCTTCGTTTCAACTAATGCCTTTCTGGCCCGACAATATCGAAGCCTGGTTCTGCTACGCAGAATCCGATTTCTCCGAGCACGGCGTGATCGACACACGTGCACAATTCCTCGCAGTAGTCAAGGCACTACCGCGCGGATTCAACAGGTACGTAACACCTAGTATGTTTACTAGTGATGTTTCCGATCCTTACGAAATCTTGAAACGTTCGATTCTTAAACGAGGAGACCTAACCGATCGACAAAGGTTAGATCAACTCTTCAATAACATCGACCTGCAACACGGTTCTGCGGCTGACATGTTGCAAAGAATGAGAGAAGTGATAGGCCTAAGGACTTTCGACGAAGGTCTATTTAAACAACTTTTCTTGTCTAAAATTCCTCATCAGGTGCAAGCGGTTCTGGTCTCGTTTCAGAACAACGCCTTAGACGAGCTAGCTGCATCTGCCGATCGTATTTTAGAAATGACGAAATCGTCTACTTCAGAGGTATTTTCCGTCAAAGAAAAGCCTCACGCGACTCAGAATGACATAACCGAGTTATGTCATACACTCACGCATTATCTTAATCTTCGTAACGACCGTAGTCGCTCACGCAGTCCACGTAGAAGCATTTCGCGTAAACGATCTGTCTCTAGACCACGAGAGACGGATAACCCCGACTGGTGCTGGTATCATAACCAGTAT